TCGCCTGGTAGTACTGGTCAAGTGATTCTTTCCCGAGTTCAAATTTCCTTGCATAGGCCTCACGTAAGCCTAAGACTTCTTCATCTCGGTCACCGTATTCATCTTTGAATTTGTCCATCCACTCTGTTATTGAGTATTCGATTCCATCTTCTGCTGCGATGTCCTTTTCTCCTTCAAACCATGTTTTTGCAGGACCTTTCACTGCACTGGCTATCTCAATCATAATTTGATCGTCCGTCAACTGATAAGTCCTTTGGGTTTCTTTCACCAATCGTGTCCATCCACTCACTGTGTCACGACTGCCGTCAAAGGTCATAAGTGGTGTCTTCCTGGCCATCGAGTTGAGTGCTTTTGTCAATTGCACCGCTGTATTTTCTGCTCTTTGGTCATCATCTTCTTCGCTACTTCCATCATCACTTTGATTTCGTTTCGCTTTTCCATACCGGGATTTCCTTGGACGTTCCTGCCGGCTGGGGGGTCTGTCCCGTCGTCCTTCATCGATGAACACATTTGTTTCGATGCGCGGAGGGAATTGTGAAGGGTCACCTCGACTCATATGCGGGTAACTTTCCGAAGGTGGTTCTTTGTCTTCTTTGCCCTTTTCACCGTCCCTTTCATTTTTGACGCTTCCTTTGCCAGTACCAGTTCGTAGCGGCATGTCAAAGTGGAAGCTTTTGCCCGTGCCCGTTTCATGCGCCTTGCTGTAACTGGGCGGAGGGGACTCCACTGTTGCCGTTTTAACTCCGTATTGTAGGAGTTGTTCATCTTTGTGCTTGTTAGACGTCTGGAGCGCCTTATTCTCATCTTCCAATCGTTTAGTTCTCAGTTGAAGTTCCTCTCTTTCTCTCTTTAGATCAGAATTTTCCAGGTTGACCTTTCGTAAGTGTTCCTGCAGTTTAAAAGACTCGTGTTGGGTGACCTTTTCATTTTCCCGTTCCATCTTTTTGATGTGCTCGACCAGCTCACTCGTTTCATTTTCGAGTTGCTGATACTGCCCAACGGCTGATCTCAACTGATCCTTGATCGTGATCAACTCATCATCTTTTGCCAATGCTGTGGTGGTCATCTCGACGAGGTCAGTGTTCAGCTTTGCAATTTCCTGACTCTTTTGAGCGACGTGTTGTTGCCACTCTTTGTCCTTCAACTCCAATGTTGTGACCATTGTGTCCAGTCGCCGTGCTTCCTTCTGCCATTTGAGTCCTTCCTTAGTGACCTTTTCGATGTCTTCTGTGACCTTTTCGTTCTCCTGGTTGACCTTTTTGATTTCTTCTTTCAGGCGTTGTCCTTCAGTAGCTGTAATGTCTCTTGCCTCTCGCATCGCCTTGATTGCATCATTGCGCAACTTCTCAGCTTCGTCCGCCCGTTCCTGATGACCTTTCGATTCGAGTTGCAGAGTACTGACAGCCTCCTCCCGTAGCTTCAAGTCATTCCTTAGTTTGAACGTCTCCGTCGCCAATGTTGTCAACCGTTGTGTGACCTCTGCGAATTTGGTCGCGTACTCGTCCCGTTTAGTTTCAGCTTCAGTGACCTTTTGACGCAACTGGTCACATTCGTCCTTCAATTCGGCTAAGTGCCGTGACCTTTCCGCCGACTCTTCCGACATACTCTCGTTAAGGTCACTGACTGCAAGATGACCTTCCATTTCTCTATCATCTACCATTTTCAAATATTCTTCTGCCATTTCCTTTTGTTTTTCGTATTTCACCTTCCATTCCTCTGCTGTGCTCTCCAAATAAGCCTGTTGCTGCTCCAATTCATAAATACGAGCGTTGAGGGATCCCATCTGATTTTGGTATTCCTGCCTCTTTTTCATCACCTGACCTTCCTTCACTTCGAGTTCCTCTTCCAACTCCTTTACACGTCTTTTCAGAGTTGACGTGGGACTGTTCGGTGATGGCGGTCGTACGTTGATGACCTTTCCAGTTTGCGTCCGTTCGATGAGGTGTTCCGGTATGTCTTTGAAAGGTGTCATTCCTTCAGCCCGGTCAGCTAGTTTCATCGCAGATTGGAAAGACATATTCATCGTCGTTTCATCATCCGTGAAATACGATTCATTCGATTCATCTGAGGCCATTGGAGTTGCAAAAAGGTCATCGTCTGCCGCTTTGTCGATCAGCGAAAGGTCACTCAATCCCAGTTCCGCCAGTTCCTCTTTGGTGACCTTTGTCTTTCCCATTTCCGTTTGAGCAAGGTTCACGTTTTTATCCTGCTCATTCATTCCACTGGTGGTAGCATCCGATTGTGATGCTCCAACTGGTTCCGCTCCCCTTTCTGTGGGTTTGTCCTCCCCGGTGACCTTTGTCTGGTTCATCGGATCACTTCCCGCCGTAGACGCGGGAGTGTGCTTCTGGTCGTCGCTTGAACTTTCCTGATTGGCGACCGCCTCGAGCGCCTTCTGATAAGTGCTATCAGAGCCTCGTGAATCCTTCTTCTCGAATGCCTTGGGCGCTCGAGTATTCCGTTCATGTTCAACTGGACGTGAGTACGGGTACAAATCTTTTTTGTACGGATTTGGTGCACCTTGCTGTGAGCTTCGGGAGCTTTTGCTTCCCTGACTGCTGTTGGATGTCGGTTCCTCTTGGTCTTTGTCCATGTTGATCGGATAACTTGGACGCTCCTGCCAATTGTTCTCACACACACGTTATTGTATGGTTTATTCAAGTATCCTAAAGGTCACTCTGTACCTCCGAAATTTTTCTAAGTCCTTATTAAAGGTCACTTTTCGACTGAAAAATTTCGACCAAGTCCCGTTTTAAAGGTCACTTTTTCGATGAAAAGTTCGAGAGATTTGCCCTAAAAGGTCACTTTCGGACAGAACTTCGAAACCGTTCTCACAGTTCAGAACACGTTAACGATTGAGTTCCTACAGCTGCTGATATCGCTGTACTACCAATCAACTCGATTCAGCTTTATGAAAGGTCGCTGTTGATCACTTTCAGATCATAAAGGTCACTAAAATGGGTCAATTTGATCAATTCCAACTTTTTTGGTAAAGGTCATTTTTCAAAGTCAAAAGTCAACTTCTAGTCTCAAAGGTCACTTTCCGACTCAACTCAACTCAAAAGGTCACTTTCCAGCTCAATTTGCAAGTTAAAGGTCAATTTCCAGCTCAATTCTATCAAAGGTCACTTTCTAGCTCAGTTTTGATCAAAGGTCACTTTTCCTTTGTCTGAACTTAAAAGGTCACTTTCCGTCTCACTTATCTCATCTCAAATCAAATTTCCCATTATCGCTCAAGTTCAACGGAAAATCCCCATTCGGGTTGTTTACCTCGTTCTGATTGGTCTGCTAGCTCAAAATGTTCAGTTCAAATTTCAGCCAATCACAGCTCAGATAACTGACCAATCACGTTAGTCCACTTAAATTTTTAATCTGCCTGATGTCACGGTCAACGGCCAGACATGCGCGCCGCGTGCAAAACTCCGCCTACTTCTACGCTCAGCTCAGTACGGACCAATGAAAATTGATAATTTTACCATCTAACCAATCCCGTAATTAATAACGGGTTTTCTACCTGTTTCCTCGTCCTTTCCACGAGAATCGTTCCAGATGATCCAGATTCTTCTTCCACTGTCCGTTCCCGCGCTGCCGCCGGTTTTACCGTAACTGTTGTGCCGCACGCTTTTGGTGGGTTACTGTGCCGGCTGACTGCCGTAGCAACAGTAGTAGCGCTCTACTCCAGTTTGGAGGAGTCTGATCTGTCTTTTCCCCTGCGCCCCTTTTGGCGCTTCGCCGCTTGTGGCCCACGGCTTAGGCTTCGCTGAAGCCTTGCCGAGTAACGGTGACACCAGTGCAGGTCTTCGCTGAAGACTCCGCACCGAGGAACACCGCCGACTGAACTCTTGAACTCTTTCACAGCAGTGGAACAGCACAGGTCTTCGCTGAAGACACTGTACCGAAACCAAGGCTGGTAATCCCGTCCGATGAGGAACTTGCACCGCTTGTGGTGTTGCGCTTTGCTGTCGGATAGACCTGTGCCTTACTGGTCGGGTTTCACGTCAAATAACAGGCCAACTTTGCCTGACACAATTCAAATCAGAGAACCGCTGTCGGCTCTGCTACCATCTAATGCTAGATCCAACAGTGATCCAGATACGGAGACCTAAACGGAATAGATCCCGTGGAAGCGAGCGATACGATATGGATCGCGAGCTATGCGGAAACACAAACGTCGCACCGTAAATCGCTGACTTTTTAATATTGAAAAGTCTGGAGAACAGAAAATCAATTATTGATCGGCGCAGCTCGATCGTAAAAACGTAGAGCCAATTCAACAGCGTGCAGCGCTGTACAGCACGTGCTATGCCGCGCCCACTATCAGAACGCAAGCCAATCACAAGAGACACAACACAGACACGTAGTCCAAAGGCGTGGCGCCACAGGCGTAGCGCCACTGACGTGAACGCTAGTGATCCCGGTCTCACACATAGTAATTGCGAACAGTTATTTCTACCTAACCAGGACACCGCGCCAGCGAGTATCCGCGTTTACGTAATTCTATTAATTTATTACTGCGCTGTGAAAAAGCGGGGAGACGGACAGTATCAATGTACCATGTACAATCAGAAATGGTTACGATGTTATAATTTTAATGTGACAGTAACACATAAAGCAAAAAAAATTCATAATTTTCATGCCGAAAATATAACGGCGCTAGTGGAGTTCGGGAATGGTAAAGTGTTTGACGGCAGTCTGTCATGCAACGGTTAAAGCCAACGGTAAAGGTTATTTCGAACGGTATTTGGGAAGGTCAATGGAAAACGGTAAGGTAATGGCGGCGGCAAAGGTAAAGGCAAAAGGTGAAGTTGAAAAAGGCAAAGTGCAAAGGCAAAGGTAATCTTGGCCGACCCAAAAAGAGCGCTGACATGCGGCAGCAGACTTCGAGTAACACCAAATCCTGTTTATAGAGATTATCATGCCATTACGCGTGTTCTGCATTAGCGCAGAATCCAGACGATACGGCTTAGTTAGGCAAAACTTGAACGAGAACATGCGGGTTCTTACTTTGCAGCAGTGACGACACAGGAAAGCGGAGCGGCCGCCGGCGTCTGTGGTAGTCCGACAACATCCGGGTTGTTGGCGAGCAGCCGTTGGATGGTGGCGCTGAACTGCAGGAGCTTGGCACTGCGCGCTTTCTCCTCTGCTAAACTGCTCTCCAGTTGCTGCAAGCGCAGCTGCAGATCCACAAGAAGCCGGTCCTTCGCGGAGATCTCGGTCGTCAGTTGTGCGATGACACCGTCGTGTTCGGTCACTTGCTGCTGCAGCGTATCATCCACTTCAACAGACACAGCATTCATCATTAAGATATTTTGTGGATGCTACTCGCACCGAAAACAAAAATGCCGGTGAAGAATGTACAGAGGGTGAGCCACCCACATTGGCACACTTTTGGTAGGAAATTATTTGTGAGTTCTAGACTCAAGTTCTTTTAAATCCGCTGATGCGGTAAAGGGGGTTTTTCAGGAATTTGTTTTGCGAAAGGCATTCCAGTTTTGAAACGCACTGTTTTTCTACCCCGCTCCAGGTTTTTCTTCCTGGATTTTGAAAGACATCTTTTACTAAGCTCAGATATATTTATCAAGTACAAAATACCCCAGGCTATCGGGTAATGTTTTTGAAAAAATTGTTGAAGACGAAAGGAAGTTTTAAAAAATCAGTTTGTGCAGTGTGCCAATGTGGGTGGCTCACCCTCTGTACTGTATTAACCTTGAGCGTCTTGCTTGTCCTCCGCCCACATCGCTCTGCTGCGCCTGTATTGCTTGGCAACAGGTCGGCCAGGAAGGAGTGCTGTGCGGCGTTGCGCCTGATCCATCGTTTTGAGCATTTCATCTCCGTTTAAACTCTCGGATATGGCTAAACGAAAACCATTAACAACCAGGACCCTTAGCAGTAATATACTGCTATGTACTGTTAATTTAGAATCAAAGTCGAATCAGATAACGTAGCATATTGAGAATCTACAAGATTTTCCAATCACATCATTCTTTAAGCGAACTTTAAACACGGTGGCTACTGTTGCCAGAGTAGATATCTCCGTAAATGGAGTCTGGATTCCCATCAAGATTTGTGAGTGTACACGTTCCTGCTCGGGGAGATAGATGATCTTCCACGTTTGCCCGTATTACTACGTTTAAAAACATGGCGAAAACAATTCTGGAACCTGAGATTTGGCCACAAAATGTGCTTGTAAAGGAGGGGATTTACAGTGTACTGAGCTGTGATGTTTAAATACGCTGCTGTATTCCTGTTTGAAGTTTGATCTGAAGTAGAGTGTATTCTGGAGAATTGTTGTTATTGTGAGGGTCTGCTGCCTCGAATGGGCTCCTGCCCTGAATCAGCGAATATGTACGGACGTTAAACCATTAAACTTGAAACCTTACTGCCCAGTGATGATAATAATCGTACATTTAATAATTATGTTAAATGCCCATTGCGTGTTGATAGTAAGAACATATCCTGGGTTTCCTTGGTTCGATTCCTACGTTGGGTACTCATAAAAATCAACCAAAAAACTAAAAAAAAAAAAAATTTTCCAAAAGCCTTGTAAGATATCTCCGTTAATGAAGTGTGGGTACTGTAGAGTGGTAATGATAATAATATAATAATAATAATAATAATAATAATAATAATAATAATAATAATAATAATAATAGTAATAATATTAAATAATAATAATAATAATAATAATAATAATAATAATAATAATAATAATAGTAATGTAATAATAAATAATAATAATAATAATAATAATAATAATAATAATAATAATAATAATAATAATAATAATAATAATAATAATAATAATAATAATAATAATAATAATAATAATAATAATAATAATAATAATAATAATAATAATAATAATAGCATAATAATAATAATAATAATAATAATAATAATAATAATAATAATAATAATAATAATAATAATAATTAATAATAATTAATAATAATAATAATAATAATAATAATAATAATAATAATAACAGTGTCTCTTTTAAGAGATATAGAGCCGATTCATTTCGAGCAGTTTTTGCGGATTCTGTGAGCGTTTTCGGACTTTTCTAACTGAACTGGATACATGAGAGCATCTAAGGCAGAATACCTTGTTGGGGTGAAGGTAGTTTTCTGGATCCGTTAAAATGGAGGCCGGTTCGTGGGTTCGACATCTTGGATTACGAATGTGCCATCGGAATGTTTGAGCTCCAGCCAGACTGCCTGTAAAAAGAGCTGCCGTAGAAGCAAAATCAATGGCGATCCCGTTTCTACTTTCGAATATTTTTATCCAAATTACAAGTCTGATAATCATAAAGACTGATTTAACTTTCCAGTACAGTATCCCATAGGTTAACTGCCAAATTAGGAATTATTTGCCATGGTTCTTTAATCCGCTGCAATGGACCATGCAATTCGCTAACTTCGGTCTGTGCAATCAGAATTAGTCAAGGCACCAGGCTGTACGGTCGAACAAGGTAGTAAACGTTCAGGCGATTCACTGAACAGTTGAACTGTGGCATAAAGGATAATTTAGCGGGGTTTGTTGATCTGACATAACTTTTCTTGCTTCGAGTTCGGCTCCCTTCAAGCTGATGGGTTCGTTAGTGACCCGCCATTTCGACAATACGGCCTTGTCGTGACGTAGCACCGGAAGTAGGCGTGGCGTGCTTATCCCTTCTATATATTACCGCCACGATACAGCATACACATACAAGCTTGTCCGGTAATTTCGTACGAATCAATACAGGGAAATACACAAATTTACGACGTAGTGTAGTGGCAATTGCCATAGAGCAAACTCGGCGCTTAATATGTGCTGTTTGTACCTTTACGTAGGAAATTACCGGACAAGCTCGTACAACATAATAATAATAATACGTGAACGAAGTTCTCGTAAGGGAAATGGCCCGGTACATGGTATCAAAAATGGGATACATGCACTAAAACTTTCGCTTTCGCGCCCTCCCAATTACTTTGTTGTAATATTTTATGTTATTCTAAAGCTGAATGATTTGTATACATTGTTCTGAAAACCGTTTGCGAGCGCAACATCCGGTTGCCGAGATATGGCGAGTTAAAATGGGTGAAAAGTTTCAATGCATTGGTGTGTACCGAAGGTCTGGTTATTACCCGTTCTTTTTGAAACTTTGCTATAAAAGACACATGGCCGAACCAATATCAGATCCATAGCGTTTTTTTCCAACTTTAAAATGAATTTCTAAATTTCAATTTCATTTTAAAATTATGGAAAAGCGCTAACGACCTGAAACTGGTTTACTTTCGACTTTATGGTCATGCGCCTTTTATTGCAAAGTTTCAAGCAGATCTGGTAATAACCAGACTTTTGGTACACAACGATGCATTTAAACTTTTCGTCCATTTTAGTTTGCCATATCTCGGCAACCGGATGTTGCGCGCACATACGGTTTTCAGAACAATGTATACAAATCATTTAGCTTCTGAATGACATATCTGTAATGTGTTATGAAAATGTGTTATCTGGACTGGACTCTGGAGTGCGCGAAAGCGAAAGTTGTGGTATATGTATCCCGTTTTTGACGCTATGTACCGGGCCATTGTCCTTAATAAGTACAGACGGAGACATAATTTCAGGAGATAATATTATGGAGAAATCATTTCGAAGTTAAGCACAGAATTCGGAGAACAGTATAAATCGTTTAGTCACTGGATGCCAGAAGCGTTGTCAAGTCTCAGTCGTCAAAAAAAGCCAAATTCAGCGGCTCCTGTCAGTTTCACTCTAAGAAAAAACCTAAGAACGCCTAAGAAAACACAGATGGTCCACTTTTGCAGTCGAACGAGCAAGTACCGGGTGTATGTACCCGAATTGGGCACCATGTACGGGGTCACTTCTCTTAAGATTCTAACGCACCGTGCTACCAGCCAATCATTTTCAAAATCCGATTTGAGTTTGATTCGAAAATTTTGAATCTGTGATTTTGACTTTTTGTTATTGAGATTCAGGACGCTGCATTGTCAACAGCGTGTGACTACTGACGCTTTATTAAATACCTAACTCAGATACGACGTGCTAACCCAATCGACCACGTTGACCTTTGTTAACTATTTAAAACACAGTAGTCGCTGAGCGACCGTCAGCCTATAGAAAACCATCCGTAGAATATTCCATTATCCGACTGTTGAAAGGCGATAACTAACTCTCTCCAGACTTGTTCTTCCATCACACTCTACAATGATATTCCATGCATTTTGCAAAAAACACAAATGAAATGCGTCTAAATTAACATGTACTCGTAGACAAAACATTGAACCAGTTTTCGTCGACGGATTATTAATGATTAAAGTCCACTTAACACGATCTTCACTGGTTAACACTTTTGGGCCACTTCCTTGATATTCTTCCTATAGTTTCTCATAGGACAATCCCGGTATAGTTACTAATGTACAGTTATTGCTGCCTGTTGTCTGTCCACAATGTACTTATGCAAAACAATATAGCGATGATTCATACCCACTAATCCCTTCCATCCATAGAAGTACTGTACCACGACATGACTGTCCATACAAACTGTAATTCTACCAGTCATGCTCATGACAACATCAACGGCAGATTCCTAAGCCGGGAGCCCAGATATATGACCGTATCGTACAAGGAGCAAATTTAAGATTTTCTAAGTATTGAAGTTTTGCATCAGGTTTCGGCCGCTCGGATTCATGTCCTTGGATCTTTTGTACGCTGTGTCATCGCTCGGTCTGTTGGGATAGTAAAACATCTACTCTAAAATTATGCTGCTTTTGACATTAATTTTACTGTGTGCCGGTTTATTGCAGAAGCGGTCTCAGTCCCTGCTCGGGCTCCCGCCAACAAACAGCAAGATGGCGCTTTAAATGGATTTGCGGTTGGAGGTATTAGCACCGGCTTAGCGCAAGCGTTTGACAGACTGCGCTTTCGTTTATGACACAACGTACCCGGCTATTCTCTGGTGCGGTTCCGCTTTAAGCGTGTGTGCCTGTACGGTGTCCATTCATTTCGGAAACCATTCATTTCGGAAACCATTCATTTCGGAAACCATTCATTTCGGAAACCATACGTTATCACTTGTACTTGCAATACTATTATAACAGTAGTTTAATATTACTATATTAAACTGGTACTACAGGTCGGTCGCGCCAAGTGTGGACAGTAACAAAAAATTCTCAGCTGCTACCGTTGAACCCCAAAATGCTTTCGTTATTTTCATATGATAGTTCTTTATCTACAGCAACTTTTTTAGTCCTATTTCTGCATTAGAAGCTAATATGTAGGGATCGGCAGCAGAATTTTAACTTTCTATTTTCTTACAAAAATCGCACTGCCTAATAAAAAATATTCATGATCAGTCAATAATCTTTTAAAAATTGTAAGTGGTTGAGAACTACCAACTAACGAAGTGGTCTTACAAAATTGCTTTTCTACCTTCCTTTATATTGCTAACATCTTACCCAACGCGAGCCGCGCTCCAGGCAACCACATCCTTTTGACGGTGGCTTTTAACATACAGGTCTATGGACGATACATCTTTTATTGAAATTTCCAAGAGCACGGATAGCGCAAGATTCTTTTACTTACCCACAGAGGACACCTTTTGGGTCACTCAATAGTTTTTAAAAAAGTCCTTACAAAAAAATCACCTTTTGAATTTTTTAGAAGGGAAGTTATAAACACCCGAAAACGCCCGCTACCCTTCTTCCTCAAGCTCCACCCTGCCCCCTACGAAAACGTTAAAAGGTTCCGGTTTTATTATTATTTTGTCCGCAATGAAAAGTTACACAAGAAAAGTGCAAAGTTAATGTTAAAACTACTTACAGAAATGTATTAAAATTTATTTTGTGCAACTGTCCACACTTGGCGCGACCGACCTGTATTATGTTTAGTAGGCAGTGTACAGTCTGTGTACTTTTTATCTGTACAATTAAACGGGTTCCCGACATAACAGTAATCCATGTACAAATTCTGTACAATCTTCATTTCAACGCAACATATTATTGTTTTATCGGCACGTCTCACGTTAGGCTGTAACATGTAAATGCATGGTTTATGGGCACGGTTTATGAAATACTTCTACGCGCAACTGCTGTGGTTTTTTCGTGTACCAAAGATTATTGTTTTGGTTATGACGCCGCTTATCTGCAGCCGTAATCGATCGTGCGCACTAATAGTCGCTAAATGCGGGTAACATTGCTGAGGTCGATTATTTTACAGTACTTCGTATGCGGAACCTTTAATAAGTATCATGGTACGAGTACAAACTATGCACCAGAACAGATGCAGTTAATTCTTGTGCTCTCATTGTAACCCACAACACAAGCAAATCGAACCGTCGACGTGGCAGTTGCCAGTTCAGTACAGTACATAACAGTTTATGAAAAAGATCCCTGAAATGCTTTTTCGTTGACAATTCACAATTCACAATTGTATAATTGTTTCTATACAATAATGGCCAAAATAACGTTTTCCGTGACTAACTGTAAAGGAAAAGTGTTGAAATGCATGGTTTCCGAAATGAATGATTTCCGAAATGAATGGTTTCCGAAATGATAGGGTGCCGCTTGTGGTGTACAGGCTAGTTCATGCTGTTCCATGACAGCAGCACATGTAATATGTATCGTCTGGCACAAGCCTGAACGAGTGGATACTTACTTTCAACGCGGAACTGGAAAACGGTTGGAGTAATCTTTTATTTGTTTATTTAAATAGGTTGTAGAACCTGTAGTTGAACCGTTGCGATTCACTGTTTGGCTATATCGAAATTTTATCGCAGCGTTCCATACGCACCAAGGAAGGAGGAAAGTTAGAAACAGCTTGACGATCTTCCGATAAAGCTGCACAGTTATGCTCGATCGCTTTACTTGGAATCTGGAAGTCTTTACAGTTTTGGTCGATCTGCATTCTGCACTGCACCTTAGGGACTGGGTTTCCTCCTTCCTCGCCGACATCCACCATGCCCATCTACACTGACCGCATCAACAGCGTCCATTTCCTGGGCGTCGACGGTTGTATGCGTTTAGGCCGAGTGGTCGACGTGGCCGACCGCGGACTCTTTATCGACATGCTCTGTACTAACCGGCGACGCGACCTTGTCCCCGTCGAGCGGGTCTTCATCCCCAGCGTCCGAATCGGTCGAACGGATCTCGCGGAGTTCCACGCTAAGTAGAGACACCTGGATGTGCAAGCGCTGGTCCGCGATACCCCCTCCGGACCGTAGGTGTGGTTGGACACCGACCTGACCAGTGTGCCGTACCAGAGCGTGGAAGTGGGCGTCGTCCAGTGGAGAGGCATGAGCGGGGTTCCCTGCACCGATATCGTCCCTCGGGAGCGTCTGCGTTCGCGTCTGACGCCCCGCCAGGAGTCTCTGGAGCGACGCTGCAACTGCATAAAACCGGGAATGCTCACCAAATGCAGCGTGCCGCTGCAGAAGTTTGGCTCGCTGTCGCGGGAAACGGCCACCCGGCTGATCGAGGCAGCGACGGTGCAGGGTGACGATTCTGTCCATTACCAACCGGAGTCATTCATGCGGATAGTGGAGCTGGTGGACGGCTGGTTGGGTGTTGTGTACGTGCCCCAATAGTGGGAGAACTGTGTCGCCAACGACGACCATTTCCAGGTACGGAGTAGATGACTGTCGGCCACAACTCGCGAACGGGATGTTGCGCGCAAACACGGATTTCACGTTTATGTCTACAAATCATCTGGCTACAGAATGTCATAAATCAAATTAAAGAAGCGTTTAAGACTGCGCGAAAGTGAAAGTTTTCCTGTGTGTACACGAATTTGGTACCATGTACCGGGCCATTTCCCTTTAGTAGATGTGCGACTGCGAACTGTACATTTACATCACTGTACATATGCATATAAACATTCACATTACATATAACTATACACTACATTTACATCACATATATATATACACATTTATACACACATATATATATGTATATATATATATATATATATATATATATATATATATATATATATATATATACATATATACATACATATTATTATTATTATACATTACACATTATTATTACATATTATTATTATTATTACGCATATTGGTTATTATTATTATGTTATTGATATGTTATTACACATACATGTCATCAACAATATACATATGTATTATTATTGTTATTATTATTATTGTTACATATTGTAATATTAATATTGTTACATATACATGTTATTATTGTTATTATATTATTACATACATACATGATACATATTATTATTGTTAAAGAACATACACATATTAGTTATATTATAATATACATATTATTATACATATTATTACATATAAGACATACAGATATATTGGTTACATATTATTATTATTATGGTTATTTTATATAAATAAGATATATATTATTATTATATTGGTTATTATTACATATATATATATATATTGGTTATATTATTATTATTATATATATATTACATATTATTGGCTATGCATATTGCAACAGTGGCCTATCTGGCTACTGTTCTAGTGGAGCGGTGATCAACCTTTACCACGATTAAGCGGCTGTTATGTAATGTAAGGTTGGTACGGCCGTCTGCGGTGCGGCCGGATGTGGACTCAGCAATTACTTAGCAGGCACCGGTTGGGATGAGACGATTCATCCCAAGCGGTCAAACGGAACAACGCAAACGCAACACATAGCAAGGTTTCTTATTGCAAGAGAATCAGCAAGAATTCAGGCAAGAGAAGCGGCAAGAGAACCAAGCGTTCCAAGACTAAAGTGAGAATTCTAGACATCGAGAGAAGGCCGGTAAAAATCCATAGAAATGTGGAGAATCGTTATCAGACGTTATGAATCATAATGCAGTAAAACAACAACCAATCATTGATGTTAAATGACCATTACTATTCGAAACTGGTGGTCTTACACGTTGTACAAATTCTATCGCTACATCCCTCACGGTAGCGATGAGATATACTTGTCTCATCAAGATGCTGCTTAAACAAAACAAAATAAAACAACATCAGAAATGAAAAGAAAATTAGAAAAATACTTGATTAAATGCAGTCCATTAAACGAACATGGTGGATCCACTTGTGGTGTCCATCCAACGGTTAGGATTCATCAGGCGGTGTCCGCTGTTGTTCCGTCATTTCCGGTAGGTGCGCTGGTCGGCATCACGCATACGATCCATCTGGTTACGGAGCTGGTCAATCTGCTGGCGTAGGTCTTGGATCTGGCTGTCCTTGTCCCTCACGGTAGTCGAAGACTGCGGTTTAATGTCATGTGTAGCATAACCACGAATGCCCAATGCGGTCATGATGGAAGCTACGTCCCGGTTAATGTTCAAACCAACAGGCATATCCGGCATTTCGACAACCGGTAATTTCTGGTTATACGCTGGCACTGCAGCCGTGGCGGCCAGCTGCGCATCGTACTCGCGGAGCGATTTAATTTTGTCAGCACGAATTTCATCAGTGAATGCACCATCCCAGTTAATTTCTCCAGGCATGAATGGCGCATCTACGGTAAAGTATCGGTACGGGTTAAAGTACTTCGGGTACTGTTCGACTTGTTCAAATCCTTGACGCTGTCCATTGTTAATGTAACGGTAAACGAAGCCAGTACGGTGTTCGTACAACCACTTTCCATCATCTCCCTGATAGCAGATCCAGGGAGAGCGCGAGAAACGATCAAAACGCCAGCTTTGGAAGTAGTGTGGACTAAGGACGGTGTCCATCGGAACCGGAAACGAACAGAATTTGTCGGTGTCCGCGTTTTCGTGATTCGTGCGTAGGCGATCGAGAAAGGTGAACGTGTTGCACAAAACCTGCTTCTGGGCGAGCTTAATTTCACGTTCTGTAGGATCGGTAGTAGTGTTAATGTCTCCAGCAGCACGCGCAACGGCAATGTCAATGTTATCCATGTGCCGACGATAATGTTCACGTGGTGTTTTGTTATGGAACCCGATGTATGGGTTGAATTCCTGGTACGTGGCGAGTTCAGCGGTTTGGCGAATGCCGCGGTTAATGTAACGAATGTTTTCAGTTGGTGGGTCAACAGCCGGGTAGTTGCGCTGACGACGATCACCACGATTAATGTTTCCATAATTGTTACGACCATTGCGATGACTACCACGACGAGCACTGTTGTACTGTAAGCTCTGACCATTGTACGGTAGTTCATCCTTCTCTTCTGTGGGAGCGTTCAGCAGTGGTTCACGAGTGGTGGACGGGTTAATATTCGAAGTGTCTTCCTGAAATAGCGGATCGTTGTAGTCCGCATGCGTTACGAGTTCGGGTTCGGTAGCCGGAACAGAGCTGGACGGTGCTGATAGCTGTTGCGGCTGCTGGTCACTGGTGTCCATGCCGGTGCCGGTGCTCTCGTCAACGTCCATGTCTACATAATGTATACTGTATTAATTTAATGCGCATCAGTTAAAGTACTGCCGGTTAGAATGCGCACGTCTTCGTAATTTACATCTACGAATAAGGGAAACTGCAACATTGTAATGTATAGGCTAAATCAACGCAGAAACACAGTTAATCTAATATCAAGGTTTATACGAGTATGTACTGTACTCGTAGTAGTTTAATTAATTTAATGTACGATTACGCATCGCCAGTTGTCTTTACATCTCGAGGTCGTAGTTTCTGTAAAAATGCATTCCGGCTAGCTAGAACGTCGGCATCGTAATGTTTGTATGACTTTAATTTGGAAACGTGAACAACATCAATAAGTTTACGTTTTGATTTTGCCTGGTCTAGCTTGACCTCAACGTTACCATTGTCGAAAACGTTCGTAATAATGTATGGACCTTTAAACTTATTAGTTAATTTTTCTGTGCGACCAACAACTCGTAGTTCATCTTTTACGTAAACTGAATCTCCAACACTGAACGGAATACCGACTTTATTTTGGTCGTAGTTTTCACTATTCCTCTCGTGCGTAATGTCAGTGAGTGTTTTAGCGAATTCCACTGCATGATGCCATTTCTGTCGCAGCTGTTCGATGTACGTTTTTATCGTAACTTCATTAGAGTTAGCCGAATTAATATTCCCGTAGATAGTATCAAGAGGCAATCGTGTTTCAACACCGAACAACAAATAATATGGCGTATGCAGAGTAGTTGAGTGTTTCGTATTATTGTAAGCATACGTAATATACGGTATGTACTGTGCCCAGTTATTCTGTTCGGAATTAACGTACATAGTTAATTTTTCTCCAAGAAACCGCATGAAACGCTCTGCTAACGTGTTCGACTGCGGGTGAAATGCAGTTGTATACTGATGGTCAATTTGTAAAACTTCATTAATTTTGCGAATAATTTTGCTGGTATATGCAACACCACGATCAGAAGTGATGTGCAGCGGCGGACCGAAGGGCAATATAATATTGTTGATAAAGAACTGAGCTGTCTCTTCCATGCCGGTAGACTTAACGACTTTGGTGACGACGTAACGAGAAACATTCTCAACTGCTACAATAATGTATTTTGCGTTGTCCGGCAACGCATGAAAGGGACCAACGTGGTCGAACGACCACGACTCCAAAATACCATACTGTTTAATTTGCTGCAAGTATCCGGTCGGTGTAATGTTTACGCTGTGACGTTTCTGACAGGCTTCACACGCATCAACATAATTTTTAATGTAATGCAACATTCTCGGCCAATAGTAACGGGATGACACAGCATGCCAAGTGCGGGTGAACCCAACATGAGCGGAAAGAGGGGAATCATGGCAAGCGTACAAAATCTCGGCTCGCATACTGGCCGGTATGCAAACAAGTAATATTCTTTTACCTTTACGAAGCCTGAACTTGTATAATATACCATCCATTAGACGAAATGTATCTGATAATCGTTGAAGATTTCTTGTCGCTTCCAGATACTGTGTGTCATCTGATACAAGTAGCTTAATTTTTGAAATAAATTCATCTGCGGACTGTTCGGCGATCAAAGTGTCACGACTTTGGTCCGGTAATATTGCGTACACGGGTATTTCACAGTCGTCTGCATTAATATCAGCTTGCTCATGGGGGTACCGGCTCAAAAGGTCTGCGTCTTGATGCAGACGGCCTTTCCGGTACTGCACTTTAAAATCGTATTCTTGCAGCAGGAGACTCCATCGGTTTAGACGACCTTGTGGTTCTTTGAGATTTAGTAAAAATTGTAATGCAGAGTGGTCGGAAATAACTACGAAGTGCTTTCCTGCCAAGTAGTGTTTAAACTTCTTTATTGCGAAGACAATTGCGTACAGTTCCTTTTCGGACGTCATATAATTACGCTGATGTTTGTCCAACATTTTTGAAGAGTATGCAACGACATGCCAACCGTCGGCATGTTGTTGTTCCAGTATGGCGCCGACGCCTAGTCCAGAAGCGTCCGTTTTAATTTGAGTTGGTAATGTATGATCAAAAGGTTTTAATATCGGTGCGGTTGTTAGGCACGTTTTCAGGCTTTCGAAAGCGTTTTGTTCCTCATCCGACCAACGGAAAGGTACATCTTTTCGAGTTAATTTGAGCAGTGGAGCAGCTAATGTTGAAAACCCGTTGATAAACTGTCTGTAGTAGCTAAGCGCACCAACAAAAGATTTAATATCTCTGGGCGTTTTCGGTGTAGGAAACGTAGCGATGGCACTTATTTTCGAAGGGTCGGGTTGAATTCCATCTCGGCTAATAATATGACCCAAAATTTAATTTTACTAAACCCTAGCTCACACTTTTTCGGGGAGATCGTAAACCCTGCGGAACTAACTGCTTTGAGCACCTGTTCCAGTAGCTTAATGTGTTCCTCAAAGGTCTCACCACCTATGAGGACGTCATCTACATAGCAGATGACACCCCGCCACTTCAGGTGGCTTAATATCGAATCCATCGCACGCTGGAAAGTAGCCGGGCCTCCGCATAGCCCGAAAGGCATGCGAAGATACTCGTATTGTCCATCCATCGTTACAAAAGAGGTTTTAGGAATATCTTTGTCAGACATACGTATCTGCCAAAAACCACTGTTAAAGTCAAGACTGCTAAAATATTTAGATGACCCAAAACACGAGATGGCGTCATCGACTCGGGGTAGGGGCCATAGCGGGCGCCCTGTCACGGCATTCAGTCCACGTAAATCGCAACAGAAGCGCGGAGCCGACGTGCTTCCTTTACGCTTTACAAGCAATACCGGGCACGCCCACGGCGAAGTGGACGGTCGTATAATATTCTTCTCAAGCATTTCCTGCACCTGTTTATTAATTTCTACACGTTGAGCATACGAAACTCTGTACGGTAATTTCTTGACGGGTTTATTATCACCTGTATCGATATCGTGTGTGACTTGGCTGCACTCGCCAAGTGGGCGGTTTTGTTTGGAAATACGTTTTGGTATTTAATTAGTAGTCGGATTAATATATTACGTTGCTCAGTGGTAAGATTTTGTCAAATTTTAGCTCTTTAATGTGTTCCATAAGCTCTGATTTATCAAGTACTGTATCTGTAGTTTCGATATTAGACACTTCAATTTCACCATATGTATCGACTGGCTCCATGTGGCCAATGAGAACGCCCTTTTTCAGTCTGACATCTTTCCCAGAAAAGTTTGTGATTAATATCGATACGTCACCATTCTCTGCTTTAATGATGCTGTTGGGTATGGCAACTAGATGCTGGTGCAGTAATGTTCTATTGCCGGTAATCATAATATCACCTGTGTACTTATCGGGAGCGGCAACTGTAAGTACTATTCCATGTTTAGCCGGTAAAGTGGTAGTAAATGCTAATTTAATGCCTGATCTATCCCAGCTTAGCACCGGGTCGGCATCTGCACTTACTGTAGGTAATGTATCTAACGGTGACGGCCATGGAGACGCGGGACGCTCGAGCGCCACCGGGCAGGAGTATCTTCAATTAATGTATTAGGTGATGGTGTTTGTTCTGTACGAGTATCCAGTAACATTTCTGAAGGCGCAACATTTTCGTGTGTTAATATCTCGGGTGTGCAGCTGTACTCTGTAGTTGTATTCCCGGCATCTGTACGAGTACTGCACGGGGCATCCATATCGGAACCAGCCTGGTCATGCTGCTCATTTTGCGCTTCCGTGATAGTTTCTGTAAGATCGCTTGCTGAGCGCTGTTCTTTTAATTTTGTCCGATAATTACGTACGAAACTTGTTCGCGGTACAAACATGTCTGCCATCATCATATCTTGTACATCAGACACTATCGGGGAGCGACGGAGTAATTTCTGTGTTTTAGGCACACGAGGCTCATCCTCAAAACATATTCGGTTACTATGACTGTTAATCCAAATGTTATGTTCCATTAGAAAGTCATTTCCTAATATGAACATATCGCCAGGAGTGTTACATAATATATATACTGGATGGCGAATAACTCGGTTCATAATTTCCATATCAACCTCAGTATAATAAGATTCAGGAGAAAACTGCCGGCTGGAAATTGTGACAATTTTTAATTTAGGAGCACCGTCTGCGAAGCGTTTGAACTTTAATTTTAGACTTGCTGCAAGAATTTCAGAAATTAAAGAAAAACTTGCTCCAGTATCGATTAGAACACGAAACATTTTGTCTTTAATTTTCAGCATGATATAAGTAGGACTCACTGTCTTTGGCATTTTATATGCGGCATATTCACTCTTTTTACTGGGTAATATTGGTAAAACAGTTTCACTCATTTTGACATTGAATGCATTAATTTCTGGAGAAGACTCATCACTGACATGTCCGCTGTCAATACTTTCGCTGTCGGAAGTTTCACTGTCGGTTTCAGGAATACTGTAATATACGGGAGGTATGTACTGATGACCATACGGCCCTCCTTTACGGTATGGTCTCAATCTTTTCCCTGCGGTGTACTCCAGAAGCTGTTGCCCTGTTTGGATAGACGCAGCTCGACAAAGTAATCGTATTCTTTCTGTACTTTATCAATGATTTCGCCAGGGCAGATACGAGCAATTTTAAATTTGTCATCTTTTTCGCGTTTGTTGCACTCACGGTACGAGTGTAAAAAGTCATAACACTTCGGGCAGAACAGTTTACCATTGGACAGTCTGTAACTGTCGAAGTCCACATATCTGCGGTCAATGCGGAAATCTCGTGATGACGACGAGTCACGGCGGTCACCACCACGGAATCGATCGCGGGAATTACTGTCATAACGCCGGTCGGGAGAGCGGCGCTCGGGGCGGCTGTCCTGTCTACCATAATTGCGACTCCGCGAGCGGTACCGATCATCATACCGGCGGATGTCACTGCTGCGTGATCTGTCTCTACTGAGCCGGTCACAGTAATCTGGACGGTGTGAACTGCTGTCAGCACTACTACGGGAATAATGTCCCTCACGGTTGCTGCGACCATAATCTCTGCTGTCTGAACGGGTGTACCGATCACGGCTCGCGTTCCGGTAATTGTCATCACGGCGGTCTCCATAAGATCGTTCACGACTGTGCTGCCTGTTACCGCTGGACGATCGGTCACGACGTGTATGTTCCGATGAATTAATTTTTTTGTTCTGGTCGGCGAAATTAATTTCGATAGGATTAGTGTCTGTACCTGGCGCTTCTACGCGATCTACGACACCGAGGGTCGTGAGAAAGGCACGCATTTCTCTTACAGTAGTCGGTTTGGACGCGGCCAAAAGCTTTCTGTATTCCGGAATGTCGCTAATGGCGCGGGTAATTTCAGCGATTTTACTCTGCTCTGACATTAAAGGGTCAACTTCCGTAAAGAGTACTTGCAGTTCGTCAAAGAACAGAGAAATGTCACTCCCTTTTTTGAAAACTTTTTTTGATAGTTCAATTCTCTTATTAAGTTGATAGTCTTGTGGTAGGAATCGCTCGATCATTGCATCTTTCCAGACCTCATAATGTTTCTTAGCGTGCGTAGGCCATAAAGATTCGAAATAAGCACGGGCAGTTTCGCCAAGGTAGTTTGGTAGTGATGTTATTTTCTTATCTGAATCCCAATTTAATCTCGCTGCAACTCTTTCGAATTGTTGAAAGAAGGCAGTTATGACATATGCCGGTTTATTTTCAAAAGTTTGAATTTTGAAGTCTTTTGCAGTCTCGCGGGGTTGATTCTGAACGGACATTGCTTGCAAAAGTGAATTAATATCAGTAGTAGAGTTGACCGTGGGTGCAACTGGCTGCACTGTAAACAGATCAGGTGTTTCGACTTTATTGCGCGGCACGCGATGCGTACTCGTAGGTACAAGCGGCGTATGCAGTGCGGCAGGCATTCGATCACATAATGGCGCGGTATACACAGCTTCTGTGCTGGGCATTATTAATGTATCAGTATATGCAGAACGTGCGTGCATCGGTACTGTACTCGAATGCGCTGGCTGATCAGTGTACATGCGGCGTGCGGCAGCGAGCTCTGCCTTCAGCGCTTTAATCTCATCGTCTCTCGCCTTCACAACATTCTGAGCGAGCGCCTGTGCCAACTCAATGGACGTAACATGTGTCTCATTCAACAGATCATCCAGATCCTCTCTTCCCTCATCCGGTAATTTCTCTCCCAGCCTGTGATACAATTTTCTGGCCTTGTGCCGTACTGGACTCTCAGTGTGATCGAGAGCGTCATTGGGAAGATCTAAGAGAGAGAATTCGCGTGGCGCAGAATGTGTTGCAGGTTCTCTCTCAGCTCTCTCAGACACTACGCGCTGACCTGTGTTAGTGTATACGACAGTTTCTCTCGCAGCGGGCTCACTCACATTCGCATCTGACTCATCGCGCACATGGTCCACGTGTTGACCAGAAGGCGCGGCTGGAGCTGTAATGTTTTGTCTGTGAGCGCTAGCGGCGGATTTCGGCGGGAAACGTACGCTCAACTGGAGAAAAGTAATATTCTGTGCAGACATGTGGCCAACTAGCGCGGTAATGTGAACTGCTTTGTTATCCTGCGCTTTGACGCGAACGTTCAACTGTCTACCAATCTGTTGCAGTTCGGTCTTAGTGTAAGCATCGTCAAGCTGATCTTCGAGTGTAATGTTAGGTACAGATTCCATGGGAGCAGTGGACCGGAACCGTCACTGTCCTGTATATACTGTATCTGTATTTCTCACGTACTGTAATGTTGCGGCGCCAAACTTTTGGCGCGCTGACCGGCAAGATAAGATGCGCGGGAAGTACTCGTATAATGTCAACGACGTCTATGTGCAGACAAAGGCGCAATGCGTAATGTTAAAATTATTATCCAGAAATCGTATTACCCGTAAAAATTATGTAAGTTACATGCAACCGATTCAAGGAGAAAACTCAAACAATGAAATTGCAAACGATTTGTAAACTTCTAGTATCGATATTATGTGCGCACTGATGTTAATTAATATCTAACCAGAATGTTCGCAAAAGCGCAATGCTATTCCACAGTGGGAAGTTTTACTCACCCAAATGCAGTTTGGGAATCTTGAAAGTCTTCAGGGAATCCGGGATTTCCGGTCCGGCGTAACGAACAGACTTTGGCTTGTGCAGATTCCGCTTGGCGGCACTGGTTAGGCGTTTGGCGGCTTTGGACTTCAGGGTGGTGGGAGAATGTGATTTAATGTCGGCTGGAAACGGTGTAATGTTGACAGTAGGTTAGTGTTGGCGGGAATCGGTGTCCGGAAGTTAATATGTGGCTCTTAACCCAGGAGCGCCATGCAACAGTGGCCTATCTGGCTACTGTTCTAGTGGAGCGGTGATCAACCTTTACCACGATTAAGCGGCTGTTATGTAATGTAAGGTTGGTACGGCCGTCTGCGGTGCGGCCGGATGTGGACTCAGCAATTACTTAGCAGGCACCGGTTGGGATGAGACGATTCATCCCAAGCGGTCAAACGGAACAACGCAAACGCAACACATAGCAAGGTTTCTTATTGCAAGAGAATCAGCAAGAATTCAGGCAAGAGAAGCGGCAAGAGAACCAAGCGTTCCAAGACTAAAGTGAGAATTCTAGACATCGAGAGAAGGCCGGTAAAAATCCATAGAAATGTGGAGAATCGTTATCAGACGTTATGAATCATAATGCAGTAAAACAACAACCAATCATTGATGTTAAATGACCATTACTATTCGAAACTGGTGGTCTTACACGTTGTACAAATTCTATCGCTACAATATATATATATATATATATATATACGGAAGTGTCTGACAGCAGTGTACTGCTGCCGGAGTTATGGAAGTGTTCTCCCACTTGGACACGGTAGCGCAAACAGCGCTGCGGCCGTCTCGGCGTCATGGAACCACCTTCTCACCCATCCGACGCTAACGACTACCCTGGTGATCCTCAATCGCAAAGACGACGAACATTCCCAGTTCTTCATGGCGGCGGTTATCTACAAACACCTAGCTCTAACATTCGCAACATTGTCGTCATGGCCGACGAAGAAAACAGGCCATCGGATCTGGATGATGTTCTAGCGGTGGCGGGGATGATCCACTACGTGGCGAAACAGCATCCCGGCATCCGCCTGCGGTGTCTGTATTTCCGGGGCGTAACGCTGCGGGACTTGGTGATTGGCGGCGTCCCGCGAAGTAACGTCGGCTGGGAATGCGTGGTACACCGAACGACGGAGGGGGAGGAGGATGATTGTCCCGGCGGGGATTGCCGATTCCCGACATTCGTGGAGGTCGTCGGTGGGTTGCCGTGTGACGCGCTCCGCCTGCTCGACGGCACCATTGGCCTGGTGTGTTCCGTCAGCGCGAGAGACGAGGATCGTCTCCGCGTCCGCTTATCCGGTACGTGGGATCTGCCGCTGGGTCCCGGGTTCGGCAGCGCCCTGTGGGAGGCGGTGGAGGAGCCGCTGTCGGCGCTGAATGAGGTGGACCGGCAGACTGGCAGTTGTTGTCGCAGTTTCTGAAATCTGTTACGAATCCAACGGAAAACTGTCAGGTTTCCGCAATCACGGCGTGCAAGGTGAGATGGACTTTATAAGAACAGAAACATAGTTGTTTCGCTGGAGCATCTACTGCGGTTTTTCTCATATGTCGGTCACTTCAAGTATATGTTTTGATATTTTGATCATCTGGTGTTAAAATTTCCGGGTATACAGAAATACCAGAAGTGAATAGTTTTTCATCGTGAAAACTTCGCTCATGAATTTCGAACCATAAACTGAAAGAAATGTCTTTTTAAGCCTACGCTGTTGTCATTGCAGATGTTATGTGCGCTGCAGTCGGACGATCCGCTTCCGTCCGCGCATTACCGCGGCAAGCGATGGTGCCGTGACAGATTGAACGGTCTGCAGCTGGAGAAACTGTCGCGCTTGACCCGGGAATTTCTATGCGTGCGCTTTCTCGGGGCATGCGTATGAGCGAGGAATAAGCCGATTTAAGCCTTATTTTGGAACTGCGCAATTTATCATGCTCTACAGTTAACACTGCAACGATTCTGTGCGTGTATTAATTGAGCTGGAGTTGTTAAGCCTGGTAAACTGTGAGTGTTGTGTTCCTGTTAAAGCGGATGAATGTTGTCTAAGCGCTTCACCATGTGTGACTACCTGTTCTTGTAGCCTGCCATGATCCCAGCATGACTAGACACATTTATCGGAAGCTTCCTATTCTATTTCAAAACTTGATTTTAGTTTTGTTTCTTCTTCCGTTCGTACGGGACGACGTTCTAATAAATTATTCCTGCAATCTGGCCGCACAGTGAACTGGTGTGTCTCTCATCTGGTAATTGTAATCATAGCTGCTTCGTGACCTCGCATCCTTTTCCAACCTGAACAGTCGTCAGCTCCCGCGAAGCGCTGAGTAAGTAATTCGAGTTGATATGTTTTAAGAGCATCGTTTTACTACCTATTTTGTGTTTTGATTTTGCAGTTCAGTCGTTCAGTCTCTGTCGAATGCAGCTGGTGTTTTGTGTGCGGTCAAGAATAAGCTCAGCTGTATAAAGTAGATTGCACTGGATGCAGCCAATTGCTTGGATTTCTACATGCGTATAAAGGTCAGTGACTTAGGTCACCAAGTCATCCACGATCACGGGTTTTCGGAATAATTCGACTTTTCTCAACAACGGACCAGCCTGCCGACACAAATCGAGTTGTTGTTTCAATCAACATACTGTCGGTCGGCAAAATAGCGGCGTTTGCACATTTTCGGTGGTGCACCATCTTTCCCGCGTTTAAACGTAGAGCACAGAAGAAGGCCGTTAATCCGTTCGTTCTCCGTTAATCTTTCTTTTACTTAAAACATGTATTCGGGAAAATAAACTTCACGCAACGCACTGAATTTCATGAGAAACATAACGTCTCACAACTCCGCATTTTCTACAGAGCGCAACTGTGAGTAGCGCAAACCAATTTATTCACCAGCGTGAACGTACACATCTTCCCTTAGATTCTCCAGTACTGTATACACAAACTAGACATCAAAATTGACAAAGTAAAAACTGCAGAACCATCCTCCGGCGAAGCGGTACGCCATTCAGGATTTAGGCTCCACACTCGTCTCCACGAAGCGCTGGAGGAGAAAGACCCGGGTCAGGCGCGACAGTTGCTCCAGCTGCACATCGCCCAGTCCGCCCACGCACCACTGCTTCCCGCGGTAATGCGAAGAAGGACGCGGATCGTCCGACTGCACCGCGCATAATACCTGTTAACAACGGAAAACCCAGATTGTTGAATTATTATTATCATTATTATTACTATTATTTCGACACAAGAGCAGACAACCCCGAGGTACTTTACGTCTGGTCGAACAAAAAGTAGCCAAACTCCAATCAAGGAGACTGCAACAGGCTACTGGAAAATCGTGTTGGTTATTTGGAAAATTTTATACTCTTTTTGGTTTGATTTTATGAGATAAAAGTTACCCAACCTAGGAATATGACAAACAATCCAAAATAGTAAAGCGGATGAATGTTGTCTAAGCGGTTCACCATGCGTGACTACCTGTTTTATCAGCTTAGCCTGATCGTAGCATGACTAGACACACTATCGGAAGCTGCCCATTCTGTTCCTAAACCTGATTTTAGTTCTGTTTCTTCTTCCGTTCGTACGGGACGTCGTTCTAATAACTCAGGCCTGCGATCTAGCCGCACAGTTACTGGTGTTTCTCTCTTCTGGTAATCGTAATCATAGCGGCTTCGTGACCTCGCATCCTTTTCCAACCTGAACCGTCGTCAGCTCCCGCGAAGCGCTGTATAAGCAATTCGAGTTTCTACACCGATCCACCGTTCTAGCATATTTTTCAAATTTTAAAATGAATTTCAAAAATGTCAAAAATCATTTTAAAATTTGAAAAAAATCATGGACGTCTGGATCGGTGCGATCTTCATGATTGTGAGCATTTACGTGCAAACTTTGAGGGAGGATCGGTCCATAATGAGACTTTTGGTACACCTAAACGCATTTAAACTTTTCGGAATTTTCAAACAGCCATAACTCCAGAACCGGATGTCGCGCGCACAAACGGTTTTCACACCAGTGTATACAAATCTTCTGGCTACAGAATGTCATAAACCGAAACAAAAATGTGTTTGAGAGTGCGCGAAAGTGAAAGTTTGCGCGCATTACACGAATTTGGTACCATGTACCGGCCCATTTCCCTTAAGAGCCTCGTTTTAATACCAACCTTGCAGACCGTGATTTCGGTTTCCTCCGGATCATCCATCATCAGCCTGCCCATGGCCCCCACAAACCGCGACATACACGGCACATCCCACGCACCCGGTCCGACCAGCGCCACCTCCTCCAGCGCGTCCCACAGCGCGCCCCCGAACCCGGCGCCCAGCGGCATTCTCGCGTCCAGCATGGAACGAACGCTCAGAAGATCCCCTTCTCGATTACTCAGCGAGCACACCAGGTCCACGCTGCAGTTCGTCATGCGGATGGCCTCACACGGCAGATTGTGGAGGGTCTCAACGAAGTCCGGGAGGTGGGAGTAGCGGCCGTCGCTGTTCCAGGCAATGGAGTGGCCGCCGATGACGCTCGTCCGGTGCACGGTGCATTCCGTCCAGTCCAGGGGATCGGTGACACCGTTGATCAGGAGGTGTAAGGTTAAACGGTGGAGATGCAGACAGCGCAGGCGGAGGCCGGGGTCGTGTTCCGCGGTGTAGTGGATCATCCCCGCCACCGTCAACAGATCCTTGAAGCGGATGTAAAATCACAGTTTAACGCTTTACAGTAATTAAAAGTTCAGCATGTGTCTTTTACAGCAGAGTTTCAAGAAGATCGAGTAATAACCAGACTTTTGGTACACACCAATGCATTTAAACTTTTCGCCCATTTTAGATCGCCATATCTCGACAACCGGATGTTGCGCGCGCAAACCGTTTTCAGAACAATGTATACAAATCATTTAGCTTTAGAATGACATAAAGTATTACAAAAAAGTGATTCTGAGTGCGCGAAAGCGAAAGTTTTAGTGTATGTATACCATTCTGGACGCAATGTACCGGGCCAGTTTCCTTATTAAAGACAGACGAAAGATTCGCAAAATTAATTTCAAAAATTACAGCTTTAATTTCAAAAGTGCACTTTTTGCAATAATTTTTAACAATCATTCTCGAAATGAAGAAACTGGTCAAATTAAATGCCGGTTAATTAAAATACGACGGAATAACGAATCACGATACATCACTTTTCCAGCTCTTCAAATATTCGGAAAATAAATTCAAAAATATAAAATTTTCAGTTTCAAAATTTGATTTGAAAAACGCCACAAAACTGCTTCGATTGACGACAGCTTACCTCCATGCGAAACGGCCGTCCGACTTCGGCCAGGACAACATGCTGGGTGTGGACGGTCATGCATTTAAAGACGACCGCGGCCATCCAGAAACGTCCGTGCACGTGTTCCCGGTTCGTAATGACCAGCGTCGCCGTCAGCAGCGGCGAGGTGACCATGTCGTTCCACGTCGGTGCGACGACGCGCAGCGCCGTCTGCGTCACCGTGTCCAAATGGGAAAACACCTCCATCCACAATTCCGCCGGGAGCATACTGCAGTCGGCTTCCGGAGGGTTCCTGGACGAATTCAGGCAGTGTAACAGGTCCGACTGGAGATTTACCAAGGCGCTCTGTCGAGGACAGGTAGAAGTCTCATTATGAACCGATCTTCTTCAAATTTTGCAAACAAGCGCACTTAAATGAGGATCGTTCTTTACAAGCTTGTCTCGTGATTTCTATCGCGACACAGGGACAAATACAAATTCAAAGGTCGCTACTACGACGCTCCGCGCCCACCCTAATTCCCTGTACGTACATTTGCCATTGCTGATACCTGCCAAATATCGATCTAAATTACGAACTATCCATATAAATTATAAATAACTTTTCTCTTTTATAATCCTCTTAACTAGACAGCAGGGAATTTTTTTGTGGCAGATGTAGTATAGTGCACTCCCCTTTCCCACCAAATGCATGCTAGCAGTGCCTTCAAGAAAGAAATTACGCCACATGCTTATACACCGAAAGAAAAGTCTACTGAATTTTTTTCGAATAGAAAATGGACTGTAAAATTTTCGATATTCATTTAAAAGGTAGAAAAAACGCCGATTTACCATAAATGTGCGGCTGTTAGCGTCACAGAGCCGCGGAATGTAGACCACGCCCAGCTGACCGTCGACGAGATCCACCGGGCGCAGGCGGGACTCGGCGCGGCCGTAGGAATCCTTCCAACGCTGCAGCAGCGCCGCGCTCTCGGCTGGCGGCAGCGAGCGGAACGTCTTGTCCAACGGCGCGACACTGCACGCGGCAAACATGCCCGGCTCGATCGGTTTGCCGGTGTCCAGCGGCCGGCGCAGGCGTTCCAAGGGGACGATATCGGAACACAGTACATCGCCGCCTAAGGTCAGAATTAAAGATTATGTAATAAACATTGCTTTTTTATTTATTAAAGAAATTAAAAGAAATATTAATAGCTGCTGATACATCATCATTTTCAACAGTTAGCCCATATGCGATTTATTATTAACTTTATTTCTCAATATGTACAAGGCGAGCTTCGCTCAACAAATATCATCAAATGAAGAATTTGTCCCAGTTAACATGAGAAGGGACTGTGCACAATACACTCAAAGCATTACCACGCATAATCTCCAAACTTAAACGAAAACATGTAGAGCGACTCTCACCCGTCCTTAAAAACAACTTCTTACCAATCTCCTTTAACGTAACAATGCCGGTTTCACACCAAGTGCCAAAAGACTCACATGCAAAAGCGACAAAATTACAGCGATCAGTAAGCGACTTGTATTTTCCAATCTTCTCCCGGCAAGCCAGTTCGGCGGCGGCGCCAGCACTCTTTGAGGTCGCGTCGATGTATGAATCCGCCATCGTGCCTCTGCAAGTAACCGTCCCATACTAAGGGCTGTCCGCGGTACCACTTCCAACGCGTAGCTCCATCCGGACGTTTTCCGTTTTCGCGCAAAAAGCTATTGTGGTTTATTTATTTTTATCAAACCGGCATTCAATTTGGCCAATTGTTGCAACTGTTTTATTTTAAAATTTTTTTTCGTAAAATCGATTTAAATGCTCGCAGAAATAATGTGATGCTCAATTTTCAGAATGATTTACAATGCAATCAGACGGGAACTCCAGGCTGCGTTGGAAATGACATAACAATATTTTTTAAATTGATTTTGCGAATACTTTTTTCCGGTTAGAAATTTTCGTGAACAGTTACTCCTTTGCATTTTCTTAAGCGGCTTTTAATCTGACCGATTTCTGCCATCTAAAAACTTATTTTAAAACAGAATCCGATCGTTAATTTCAAAATAGTATCACTTTCTATTGAAAAGCTGGGTTTCGATTCTGTAAACGATCTCACTGATGTGTAATAAAACTATGAAAGGCTTAATTGGTTTAACGCCCGCACACATTCAGGGCAAGGGCCTCTAAGCAGGGCGGCGCAATCCGAGGGAAACCGCGAAGCGGCTGAAAACTGCCCCGAATGGGGGTATCGCACCCCGGCTACGTCGTTAGGTCCGCGTTAGGCAGTACCACTGCACCACGGCGCAATACGTTGAAATCATTTGAAAGACTTTATCGCTGTACGTGAGCCGCTTCTCGCCTCACAGCGCCCAATTCGAGGCAGCAGAGCAAATTCTCCAGAAAACACAGTATTTCAGATCAAGCTTTAAACCAGAATAGTGCAGGGTATTTAAACACCACATCTCAGTACTGTGATATTCGCAGCTAGACAGGAAACATTCGCCACCCTTACCCTTACCACTGCCGGACTTCTTCCAGTGGACGACGGCCGCCGTGCAGCTCTGATAGCGGACGCTGATCAGTTCCCCGTCCAGCCACATCCAAGCACCCGTCGGCCCCTCGCGAAGCAGCACTTGCACGGGCACCTTCCTCCCTGCCTTCCCCGGCAAGTCATAGGCACTGAACGGGCAGGGGAAGAACACGCGCCCGAAGCGGACGAAGACGCGGTGCTGATCGCGGCAGAGAAAGTCGATGAAGAGCCCGCTGTCGGCCACGTCCACCACGCGCCCGAAACGCAGGGAATTGTCGTCGCACAAGACGCTGACGCTGTTCAGGCTGCCAACTGCGCCGGGCATGGTTCGGACTTTTCAAGCAGAGATTTATTACCGCTCACGCAGCACTAATAGGGCAATCTAGTGCAAGTCGAAACGATGATTAAAAATACAAATTTAGGGGAAAGAAAAAGGGTGAATGTTGATACGCAGTTTTTTGGAAAGTGAAAAACCGAGAAAGACAGAAAACGAAAACGGCAGCATAAGAAATCTGGCAAACAGCCATCCGTGTGCGGTGGCCACGCCTCCCGTGAGCACACTCAACGTAAACGCCATTCGATGGGTGGCTGCCAGAATTATTCATTTTAATTATTAAATATTCATAATATCATTTTATAATTATTATAATATTACTATAAATAGTAGAATTAAATTTTTAATAAATAATACTCTAAATTTTTAAAAAAATATCAATTTTAAAATTAGTTATCATTGGGGGATAAAACTGAAATATGAATTTTAACCACGCCCGACGCACGTTTTTTATATCTCCTAAAGCACATGACCGATTTCCTTCGAGGTAAGCTGTTTGGCCGCGGAAATAGCTTTCCTGTCTAACAAAATTTATGTTTCAAAAATATATTTAAACGGGACATCGTAAACAAAGAAATTCTGGGACTTCCGGAGGCAGACGCAATGGCAACCGCCCAATGCGGCAGTGAGATTGGGCGTTTTATAATTAATATTCAGTGCTTTATTTTCTGAGAATTCCTATTTTTGTCTGTTTGATTTTTTTCACGAAAACCGACTTTCTCTGGATCATTTCTATTTGCAAATTATAAATAAATTACACAATAAATCATTCCAAGTAGTAAATATGTCATCCGGAAGCAGGCAGATGCAAAACCAGCCGATACAGAAAAATACGGACGAAAATCAGTGCTTTTTCGGGGTTTATTTTGATTTTATTCAATTTAACTTCGTACGATTTTTTTCCAATTTTTATACTCGTAATTTAAAGGTGCAGTGCGCATTAACAGCAAAAAAAAGAAAGAGTGAGTAAAGAAAAAACATCCACAAACCATTCGCCACAAAAATCAAAAAAACATGTCAGTAAGCGCGCCAAACTATAAATAATCCGCATCCACGCCGCACCTTGGGAATTAAACCGCCGCAACACGAAAAAAATCCGCAAATATTCCGAAAAAATCTGCAAATATTCCGCAAAAATTCCGAAAAATCACGCGGACACTTCAGCCTTTATTGCGGGAACGCCCCGCCCTGCAGCAGCCGCTCCACGGCGGCCGTCACATCGCCGAACGTCGCCTCCAGCGCGCGGATATTCGCGGCGCGATCCGTGAACCCCATCGATTCCAACGTCACCAATTCATTGCGGAACCGCTCCTCGGGCGGGAGGACAGGCGCCGCCCCCGCCGCCGCCCCACCCCCGGCGGGGGGCGCTCGCAGCATCGACTGGAACATCTGCTCCAGCATCGCGTTGCCGCCGCCCGCCGCGGGCGGGAGGTTTAACCCTTGGCCCACGCCCCCCGCGCCCGCCCCGGGGGGTTGCCCGGGGATGGTAAACGGCAGGTTGAAGGGGAACAGCGTGGGCGCCAGTTCGTGGAGGGTGCGGTAGGATTGGTTTAGATCGCGCAGCGCCGTCATCCCGCGGGGGTCGCTGACCAGGCGGACGTATTCGGGGTTGTTCATGTTCTGTAACGCGCGCTCCATCAACTGCGGATTGGCGCTCAGCTGGTTCATCATGGCCTGCATGCCCCCCGGGGCGCCGGCCCCCGCCAGCGCGGCGAAGGGGTTGGGGGCGCGCGGGGCGCCGCCCGCGGCGGGGGTGGGGGCCGCGCCGGCACCCCCGCCGCCCCAGGGGTTGGGCAGGGGCTCCGTGTTCTCGGCGCGCGGGGCTTCCGTGTTGGGGGGCTCGTTGCGCAGCGTGGCGAAGGGGTTCTGGTTGTTCATGGCGTTGTACATGGGCTCCTGGGAAATCCGGATTAAAAAATCAATTTTAAATGATTCACAAGTCGAAATCAATTCATTTTAAAAGCAACCCGTTAAACATTTTCTGAATGTATTTTTTTAATAATTGTTTAACTTATTTTAAGTGAAGGAAAGCGGTGGAGATTCAACAAAAAACAGTGGAATAACGGTTAACAATTTATTAAAGAATTACGAATATTAACGTCTGCAATTAAATTAGTTTTGTTTTGCCTGATTGTACTGAAAGCAAAAAATTCCATCTAATTCTCGATTAAAATTTAATTTAATTCAATAACTGATTTTCCCTGTTTACAATTACCCAACCGCCAATTTATTCAAAAATTCCATTTGAATTAAGGCAATTTTAATGAGAATTCAGATTATTTTTTCGGATTATAAAACGTCCACAACTAATTTCAGAATTTCACTAAAAATTCATTTTATTTTCTCTGACTTATAAAATCCAAAAATCCGGGAATGCTCAGACTCCAACACTGCGACTTTTTAAGATTACTTAATTCGCAAAAAAAATAATTAAAATTCAAAAAAATTGTTCGAAAAAAAATGAGAATTAATTCGAAAAAAATTTGCAAAAAATCGAGAATAAAGTATAAACCCCAGTAAAAATAGAAATAAATCCTAAAAATTCACTTCCAAATTTGTATAAATTTCCAGCGTACCTGGTAATCATTGTAGAAGCGCTGCAGCGCGTTGAACCCGCCCGGGAGGCTCTCCAGATTGGACAGCGCCCGGTCGTAGTTGCGCATCATCTCCTGCATCATGGCGGGATTGCGCATGACCTGCATGGCCTGCCGGATGACGTCGGGGTTGTTCAGGGCGTGGCCCAGCTCCGGATGGCGCTCCACCAGGTTCTGGATCTGCGGATTACTGCTGACCACGTTGCGGATCATGTCGGGATTGCTGAACATGTTCTGGATCAGCGGATTATCCAGCAACTGCTCCATGTTCATCCCCGACATCCCCGCCATACCGGGCAGACCCCCCAGGGGGTTGGCCGACGGATTGGTCGGTCGAGCGCCTGCGTAATTGAAAATACGTTTTTCAAGCAAGAAAAATCAGTATTTCCCTTTAAGAATAATTTGTAAATTAAATTCCAACTAGAAACGTCGCAATTATTTCCAAACAATTATTTTTCTACGAAAAAATTCAATACTTTTTATAATAAATATAAACTGCAACAGAAAAGCCCAGTATTTCCGTTACAATAATTTTAAAATCAAATTTCAACCAGAAACATAAAACTATCTGCAAATATTTATTTTTCTATGAGCAAACCAAAATTTTTATTACGGATTTGTAAGAAAAAATCATTGTTTCCGTCATAATAATTAATAATTCAAAACAAAACTACAACAGGAAAAGCCAAAATTTCCGCGACTCTACTGAAATAAATTTATTTTTGAACATGAAAATCAATATTTTTACTGCAATACGATATTATGTAAAGTACAATCGTTATTTTTGTCATAATAAGCTGCAAATAAAATTTCAGCAATAACAATCAATAGTTCCGTTACAATATTTAAAAAATTATTAAACAGAATTTAAATGAAAAAAATACAAATTGAACTACACAATTTCCAAACATTCAAAGTTTCAAATTAACCGTAAGGGCCATCGTGAGAACACTCATACAAAATGTGCCCATGCACTACAATATTCCTGTTCAAAATAATCAATAAAAATCCGTATTTCTATTACATTATTCATCACTTCGATTTTGTTTCGCAATTTTTATGTGGGTAATTTTCGCCGGATGATTAAGCGTAATTAGATGCGTCACTCTTTTATCAAACCACCGCACAACGTTGCCGTGACGCTGAATTACGTCATTTACCGATTACCAGCGATTTCTGTGTTGTTACAAGGAAGAAAAGCGACGTAATCGGCTGCGATGTGTGTTTACCTGGAGGCGTGTTGGCCGGCTGGCCGGTGGGTGTCCCGGAGGTGGGCGTGACGGGGTGGGTGGCCGTCGCGGGGGCGGCGGGGCGCTGCGGGACGCGGACGACCAGATGGATGGAATGGTGGTTGCGGACGCCGTAGGACTGCAGTGTGTCCTCGTCCTTCATGATCTTCCCGCCGTACACCAGACACAGCCGCTCGAACGGCTGCTCGAACACCGCACTCACCGCCTCCCGCACCTACACACCCACAACACATTACCATCGACACTTGGGAGAAAGACACCGTGATGTGCAGCAGAAATACAAAAATATCACATTTATTCACAAAAATTCTTCAGAAAATTCCCAAATCGCTCTATGCTTTTGAAAATACGTTTAAAAGATAATAGAACAGTAACGGCAATAATAAAAATACCGAAATAACGATAGTTATTAGTAATTTATAGTTTTATACAACTTCATACAGGAAAACTGCGTAAAATCGGTTAAACAAAATAATCAAAATTAAAATAATTTCAAAAGATTTCCCAAACGGCTACAGATTCGTTGAACCTACGCCAAAAATAGTATAAAAATGAAAAATAATAATGTTATACGTAAAATAATGAAATAGCAATACGGTGTGGTAGTAATTTACACAACCGCATGCCACAGAACTACGGAAAATCGACCAAAAAAAAATCCGAATATATAAAGAAAACTGAAAATTCCCACGAAAAGTCCACAACAGATGCATGTTTTATTCGTAAAAAAATTTTATAATATTCGGGACTACTCTCCTGTCATGCTACTGCAGTGGAATATTACCATTTACACTGAAAAGCTGAACCAAAAATATAAAACACAAAATTAAGCAATACTCAGAATACTGCACCGAAAACAACGCTTGAAATAGTTTTCCAAATTACCAAATAAAATTTTTTTCTTGCAGCCTGGTAGATTTTTCGGTTAACGCGCTTATGGATAATTTAGGTAAATACTACTACTTCATAAAAATAATAGATATTTAATTATAAATTATAACAGTACTGAGAAACTGAAGCAGCACGTCGCCGCGACGTTGCATCAACACGGAAAAACACGTTCCCGCGCGGATGCCACTCACCGTCTTCACGGTGCTGTTGGGATCCACCTCGACTTCTTTCTCCAGACTAGGGGTTTTGATCTTCAGTTTCCACTGCTCACTGGCCGTCCCGGGCGCGGCGCCGTCCGCGGACATGGCGGCGTCGTCCGCGGGCGGAGCGCGCTGATCGTCCTCACGCTGATCCGCCGAGGACATGCTTAACACAACTACAAACACGCCCCGATCACGTTACACCGCACGCTGATATTTTTAAAACATCTGGCGATATTTTGCCCTTCAAGAGGGACACAATGATGACACGGGAGACACGTACGTAGGGAAGGAAAACGCGGAAGATCGACGATGCAGCTCGTCGCACGCAGGTTGCTTCAACCAACTCCTAACTTCAAAATTCCGAGTTATATGCGACGATTTCCGGTGGAAAACGTTGGAGAGATACTGCCAATAAAAACTACCGTTGGAGAAATGAAAAGGAATCCGGAGAAAAGGAGAAAACAACGTGGAAACGGAGAGCTCGTGGAAGAAATGTTTGCGGATTTTTCACTACTGTGACTAGTGTTGATTGAGCCAATGAGCAGCAATCAGAAAGTGCCAGATCATTAGTATTGCGTGGTACAGGGCGTGTATGGCATGCGCCACAGTGTGCTGTTCGCGGAAATGCCAACCGCCCGCGGTGCTGTGCGTTACATAATCCGCCGAATTCCCGTGTTTTGCAGCGTTTCTCAATCGGCTGAATGACGTAGTCCTTTACACAAAATTAAGTTCATAAATTGTACGATAAAAATGATGAAATTAATCAACTGTTTCGTTTAACACATTTGGCTAGAGTAGAATTTTTAAATTTGTTGGTGTAAAGTCTGTATCACCGTCAACCAATCAGCAAATCGCGATTTGAGCATTGTGATCGATTCGACCAATCAAAGACCGTGAATTGCAGAACGTCAATTTCGATTCGCTGATCGCTATCACGGGTGTGGACCAGCGTATCGGGCATTTTTCGGTGTTTATCGATTTCTTTGTTGCTCCAGATATTCCAGATCTTCGATCGTTTTTCACAAAATATATTTCGTCGTGTTGTTCATACGAGCTTCATCAACGCAGACGAAGTTTCTTCCGCGAAAGTGACGAGAATAAAGATAAGTTTATTTCCTTGACTGATTTCCTGTGGAACTGAAGGAGGAGGTGCTTAATCTTGTACACTGTCATAAATTTTATTTGTTTTAATTTTTGTTATTTTTCCCTCTGATTTCTTTGGCTCCGCGTTTCCTTGTGGTGGATCCAGGCTGATTGGGAAAGATGATCGGCGTCAAAGGTACGTCAATGAAGATGCAGAAGAGATAGGATCTTGCTTCGTGCGCCAAGGTTGAATTTGTAGATGGCCGATTAGATTTGAATGGTGCAGTGATGCAGTCATCAGAATGCATGGACTCTGCTCTGCGCGTTTAAACATGCTTTAAAGACGCAGTGCAGCGCCGTACAGGCTTATCAGTCAGGCAGGGCCAATCTTGTTGACGTTCACAAAGTTCCCCTTATCTAATCGGCCATTTATTCATAAATCGTATTTCTTTTTCCTCAACAACCAAAATTAAAGAATAAACTTTTTTTCGTATAGAATTAATTTTTTTCAATTTTTTTTCTGCATACTTTGCAAGTTGAGTGTTGATTGGCTTCCGAATCGTTCTAGATGTGTAATTTACCGTAAATTGTGGATTCTTGATTGGGTTCTTTAAATTTAAATTGTATTGTGTTTGGTTGTCGGGAGAGCGTGTGGGTGTTGGAGGGAATTCGTTTGACATAATGGAGACTCGTTTTTCAGCGTAAGTGAAGTGGGGATGTGGATTCTGGAGTTTTGTGAGTGCAGTGAAGGGGAGGAATTAAATGACGAGGCGCGTGTTGTTTGTTGTGCAGGTTGGTGTGTCTGGCGTTTTGCGGATCGATCGGCCTCATGTTCCTCTTCCTGGCCTGCGCGCTGCCTTCCTACGGGTACATATCCACCGAAAAATATTTCTTTCCATTTACCAATATCAGAACATAAATTTTCCAGTGTATTTTAGTGATTTTTGTTCGTTTTAATTCACGTGGAGGCGTTTTTTACACTGGCAGTATTTTACGTTGGATTTTCTACGGAATTTTCTGTATCGGTTGATTTTGCATCAGTCTGGCTAAGAACGACGCATTTACAACGTAGAATGGTTTCTTGTAATTTTCTTTTTAATTTTTTAACAAGTAGTGCAGAGGAAGTCAGTTTTTGTGGGGAAAATTAAAAAGGAAAACAACGGGAATTTTTTAAAATCTTTAAAATTAACATGCGCACTTTACAGACGCAAGTGCAGCCGCCCGGTGCGCTGCCGCACCGGGCGGCTGCACTTGCGTCAGACGCGGAAAGTCCTGGAGTTTCCATCATTTGAAATGTTCAGCGTAGAGATTTTCGTGAATCAGAAATTGTGTTACATAGCTAAGTGATTTCCACGGGGATACAAGTTTATCTGAAAGAAATCGCCCGTTTGTGTTAGAAACTATGCGTCTGGAAGCGACGCTAGAGGTTGTCACATTAGTGCTAGTGTTAGTAGGTAATTTAGGTTATATTTTAATCCATGAATAATTGTTTACCTAACGTAAATGTTTTTTTAAAAAAAAATGAAAATGTTCAGTGTTCAGATTAAATTAAATTTAAATTGTTGACTTAAACGGTATTTAAATTTTTTCCCGAAAATGGATGAATTTGTTGCCGTTGCGCAGGGTGTGGTGGCCGTTCTTCGTGGTGTTCTTCTACGTGTTCGCCCCGGTGCCCATCGCCATCGCCAAGCGCTACGTGGATGGCGGCGCCGGCAGCGGGGGCAGCGTCAATAGCGCCATCGACGTGGCCGTCTTCATCGTCGCCTGCATCGTCGTGTCCGCCTTCGGGCTGCCCCTTATCCTCGCCCGCGCCGAACAGGTAACTTAATTCTATTTATTTTCAACAAATTTTCTGCAATTTCCTTGCTCACGCGGCCCACCATTTCGTAATTATTTTCTGATTTATTCTGGAATTGCTTTACGCTTTTCGTGAAAATCGTGACCCCGACCGAAAAAATGTGGGAAACAGCAAACATGACACGTGAAGACTCTCTGAAATTGTTCTCTGTGGCAAAATAAAAAATAAACTAATTATCTTTTAAAAAATAATTTCAATAAAGTATGGAAAAATAACTGGTAGTGATAATTTTAAAACAAACGATTAGTGATAATTCTAAAACAAATTATCCACCCGAGAAATTAATAATAAAAAAGGTAAAGGATAAGAAAATAAGCGAGTATTAAATAATTTCAAACAAACCATTGAATCAAATAAGGAAATTCCGCAGGATATGATTTCTTAAAAATGACACCTTAAAAAATAATTCAATAGAGCACGAAAAATAGTGGTATTGAGAAACGAGAATTAAATTGTTTAAAAAATAAACAATGTGATAAAATGAGTGATATTAAATTAAATAAATTTAAAAAATGGGGAATTTTGTAAAAAATTGAAAGAAATTAAAATATATTAATTTGTGGCTTTTTGCAGATTAAATGGGGCGCCGCCGCCCTGGTGGAGGCCGGCAACGTGGTCATCTTCCTGACGATGCTGGCGTATTTCCTGGTCTTCTCCAACGAGGACGTCGACTACAGCATGTGGTGAAAGTGACCCGGCCTGTTGGGGAAATTTTCTCTGTTTTTTCTGTCTATCTGCATCGATCTTCTGCCAAATTATTTTGTTCGGTATTCGCGCAAATTGCGGTTTTGTTGACGAGATGGATTAGCCGATGATTTCGCTCGAATTGCGGAGCAGCAAGCTGTTTTCTTTGTGATCTGATGGCACAGGAATCATTTCTCTCTCATTTTGGCCTTCGTGTGTTTTTGTTGTATTTTTTCCCGCGGAACATGACCATTAAATTTTGCACAAACACAAAGGAATAGCATAGGAACACAAATCGTGCTCTGTGTTTTCATTGCGGAATTTGTCCGATTTGTTACTCATATGGACTGGAAACCAATCAGATTCCTCCTACGAAATCTGGAGGGCAATTACCACAAAAAAAACACTATTTAATTTTTTGTCGAATTTTCGTAAGAATTGACTACCGATCACGACGTTACGATAAAAAAGGGAAATTAAGAAATATTGGACTAGGTAGTTAACTACATCCGTAACAGCCATGACGGCCTCTGCTAAGAAAATTATGTTCGGACGAACGGGTTGGCCGATTTTGACGCGGTAAAGTGCGCCAGAATCGTTGCAACGTAGCGGGTGATGTTGCGCTATTGCCGACCCGATGCGCCTCAAGGGGGGAGCACGACTTTCGAAAAACGAATTGTTGCCATGGGCCTGCAAGTCTCGCCTTCGACCTCGCTCCAAACCGGTTAACATAAAGTATAGGCACACGAGTTGCACGAGCATTATTTGCACGGCAGATCGGCCCTCTCGGCCTCGGCTCGAAAAATATTAGGAAAAATACCACAGAACTGTACCGTAACAACCGTGACGTTCAAACCTAAAAAAGCAATTGGCTGAACGGGTAGGCAGATTGGCTCAACGGGTAGGCAGATTTTGACGCGGTCAAAAATGGCACATTTGCATTACAAAATGACATTTGCATTACTACCTGCCCAAATTGCAAACTTTGTTGATATTGTAATCCCGCTAGCCGTTGAAACACTAAAAAACATATCGAAAATAAGATGTAACTACGGACTGGTTGCATTTAACAATTGCAGCGCATCATTCAACAACTTCCCGGACGTCTTCATTTCCTGTTCCAACTTAGCTTGCTGACGCAGCAGATGTTCCAGAATTCTCATTAAGCGCGCGTTTTTACTTCGTAGAACCGTATTTTCTCCTTCGATTTTGCAGTAAGCTTCCTTGTAGTCCTTGATTTGGTCGTTACTGACTTCCAAGTCCAACTGAAGTTCTTCCGCACGGAACTGCAACGCACGCTTTTCCGACAGCATCTGCCGATTGTCTTGAAGAACCGAATATATGGTTTGCTCCAACTCTTCATTTTTCCACGCCAGATTTGCAATGCGGACTCGGCTTTCTTTCTCAACTTCCATTAACTGGGCTTGCTGTTAACCGAAATAAAGAAGGTTCAGACACATAACCAGAGCACGAGGTTTTTTCTTTCTCCTCCGTTATCAGTTTGGAAAGTTCCTCAGTTTGTGCATAGTTAGTTCGAGGACCCAGTGAACCAAACTCAACCATCAGATTATGATGCTTTGCCAGACCTGATCGCAAGTATTCAGCAGGATTTCTGTCACCAGTCGGATTCAATTGCCCTACCTCCGCTGATTCCTTTAAAGAAATCACGACGGGAACCTGGTGCGCTACAGGATCAAGTTTTCGAACGTGCGGCGACCCTTTAAGAGAAATTCTGAGTTGCTCCATTTTGGCTGCAAAAAATTGTAAAAATGAAGTTCAAAAAACGCTTATAATCAACAGCAAAAATAGTGAACAATGAATTCGAAATTCGGTTCTCAGCCCCATTAAAATGACTTATCCCATCTCCATTGGCCCTTCCTTTATTTGGAATTACAATAAATCACATTTATCATGACTAAGCTTTTCGTCAACGGATCCTCTAAAATTCATAAATTCGTTGAAAAAGGTTCTTTAATAGAAAAGAAAGGACCGCTTTATTCCAACAGGCGGCGTACATCTAAAACTTTTTTTGAATTATTCTATACAAAATTATTTCTTGTTAGCATTTGTTTGCATGTTATTGCTGGGGCTTTTGTTTTTAGTTTTACACATGTTAAGTACATGATAAATTTGGTTTTTGAAGTTAAAAGTACTCATGTCCAGTCAGAGCATCAGTTCACGTACTGATAAGCGGTACATAAAATCAGGTAGAAAATTTAAAATACCCAGTAGTGGAATACAGTGAACACAAAGAGTAGATAAATATCAGTAGATTCAAGCGAATAATGTAGCGGCCTGAAGTAGCATAATTCGCCAAAACGTTTTCTTCGTCGTTTGTTCTGCTTTCACTAGTTTTTGCAATCTTCAACTTGGATGTACGCTCATATGTTTCCCTTGACAAAAACTTTACTTCCATATCTGCTTGCTTCGATATATCAAATTTTAGTTAAAATACTGTTCACATAATTCGTTATGCTTTTGAAAGCTTTGGTTTTCACCATTAATCCATAATAGTTGTCGATTATTCGACATCAGATGCGATTTAACGATTATGTGATAGCAGGCAAAATTTGTTACCCAGTGACTAATTAGCACTCACAGTCTTTCTGGCTTCGATTCACTCTGTATCTGACTTGGTATCCCTTCTGGTACCCACGGACTTGGCGCGGTTATCTGTGAACCACATGAGTGTATAAAGTGTCGCAAGCTAGTATACCGATGTGCACACCTCGGCCTATCCTGCTTTTTTCTCAGCCGGCAGGCACCCTCGGCACGGCAGGCTCAATAACATTGTATGCCGCGCTCTCGTTTCTGCCGGCTCCCCCGCTAATCTGGAACCACGCGGCACCTAACACACTAGCGAACTACGCCCAGACGGCTGCACAACGTTTGCATGGCAGAGGGGTATGTGCTTGGCGTGGTATATCACTTTTGTCGATACGGTTGCTGCTTCCCGTAGAAGGTCTACTTCGTTGACTGTCGGGTAGGCCGCGGTACAGGCAGAAGAAAAGAAAGCCATATGTGTACTCGTACCTGAGTGGGCGATACATTTTCGCCGCCATTGCCTTTGAAACAATGGGCCCATGGGGACCGTCAGCTACCGCTATTATCGAGAAAATCGGGAAACGTCTACGTAATCAAACTATAGAGGCCCGCTCTCATAAACTTTTCCGACAGCGACTCTCCCTAGAGATTTAGGGGGGAAATGCGGCTTCAGTTTTCGGACCAATGGACGGAGTTGAAAAGTTTACTGAGCTCTTTCTGTTGTGATAATAAAATCTTTCACCGTTTGGTTAACTTCTTAATGTTTTTTTAATTTGTATTCTGCAGTCGACGGCTAATGACCATATAGAGTAAAATATTTGGCATTTGAAACTTTCAAGTTGACTATTCATTCAAACTTTTCGAAATAGTTTTTAACTTCGAAGCTTTAAGAAATTTTGTACTTTTATTCACACGATCCTGTCAGTGTTTGTGTAAGATGCCTCGTGAAACAATTAAGAAAAAATTCGTGGAACTTTAGCCTTACAGGTTTTTTCAGTAATATGGGCAAATGTCTGAGGAATATTGATACCAGCGTGGAATTGAACTGTAGCAGTAAACCTTCCAGCTAAACAGAATCATTGTCAGACAAAATGAGGTATACAGCGATGTGTAAGAGCTTATGAAGTCTACGCGCTACCAAAATCGCCTTTTATGGCGCATGCAGTAAAAGCGCAAACAAAGAGGATCGTGGCGGGCAAACCATGTCCTCATTATGCACTCCGGAACTTGCCGTAAATTCCAGACTTCTTTAGTGATCATCCCTTGGATTACGCTCATCATCCCAACTTAAAAAATGACGATATTGCAAGATTTAAATTTCAAGACGGAAGTTCGTTCACTGTGGGGTAAAGGCTCGTATACTGGTCTGCGGATCCGTAAAACAGTTAGGGTTGTTGTCTTTGCGTTTCTTAGTGTCCGCCCACATTCATAAAGCCAAAAACGAATTTCTTCTACGATCTGCGTAACTGCAACAGAAACTACAGCAAGTCAGCTAACAAAAATATAGCACGAATACAGATTTACCCTGTTTTTGCTTTTTCTGATAATTTTCATGAATAGTTTTCAACAACAAAATTGATAAAATTAGTACCTTTTTCCCGATTTTTGCAAGAGCACTGTGAATAGTTGCCGAAGCAGGAGGGTCTTGGAAACCTCTGCTATCAATTCTCCTGGATTTGGAATATCAATTTCGTGGCCGTTTTCCATAAAAGCCTCTGCGTCACGAAATGGCCAAAGAGCAGAGTAACATTAGCATGAATACATCAACAAGTTGGAAAACAATTAACTCTCGGTACTAATGATAAAGTTTTTATTTTGCGTTTTTCTGACATAGATTCCTTTACGTTCACACCGTTTAACTTCTGTTCCTTTGCCGCTGGCACTTTTTCATTGGTTAGCAAAGTTTCCAATAACTGAATAACAATACCTCTAAGATATTGCACAATGTTTTGGAAAAATTATCTGAGTAATAAATAGCTGGGTTGAAGAAGAATAATTTAATTGGGATGAGTGATGAAAATTTCTATGCAGGGATCATTATCGCGCTGCAGTCGGTGATTCTGTTGGATACTGTCGGGATTGACAATCTGTCGCCGGCCTTCGGGATTTTTTTGGTGGTGCTGGGCGCCGTTGTTGGCCGGACGGCCCACGGCATTAATTGTGGTAGACAGCAAAGTGATTTTTTCAATACAGGTTTATTTGGAGTAAATCGCCTCTTTGCGTTAGAAACTATGCGCCTAGAAGCAGCGTATTGGTTGTCAAAATTTGTGCTAGTATTAGAGATTTAAATTTTAAACGTTGATTAAATTTTTTATCTACCGCAAATCTTTTAAAAATTGAAAATTGCCAATTAACATCGTATCTAAATTGTAGACTTTAATGATACTTAAATTCGAATTTTATTTCCGTCGTTGGATGAATTTGTTGCGTTACGCAGGGTGTGGTGGCCATTTTTCGTGGTGCCCTTTTATTCTTTATTCTGAATTTATTTTGTGCTTTTCGTGACTGCGACTGAGAAAATGTGGGAAATAGCAAAAATGACACGGAAAACTCATTGAAAATTGTTCTCCGTGGCAAATTATAATGAATAAGCTAACTAGTTTTTAAATAAATCTAATAAAGTATGGAAAAATTACCGGAATTGGTTTTAAAAAAATTATCAATAAGAGAAATAAATCATGAAAGAGACTAAATGTAAAAAAATAATAGAGTAATAAATGAATTCGATCAGAAGATATATTAAATAAGGAAATTTCACTAAATGAAATTTCTCAAAAATGGATATTGTTCTAAGTGGAAAATAAGTACAAAAGATGCTAAAATCTTTTCTTAATTAAAGCTCGAAAAATAGTGGTACCGAGAAAGAAGAATTAAATTGTTTAAAAAATAAACAGTGTGATATTAAAATAAATTTAAAAAATCACAGGAATTGACTCAAGATAACGACGTTACGATACAAATGGAAAATTAAGAAATATTGGGCTAGGTAGTTACATACAGATACCTAATACTCATAACGGTCCGTAAAAATTTAATTTTCACAGGAATTGACTAAAGATAACGACGTTACGATAGAAAAGGGAAATTAAGAAATATTGGCTTAGGTAGTTACATACAGATACCTAATACTCATAACGGTCCTCATTCTCATAATCTTACTTATTCAGTTATTCCTACATTCCTACTCATAATCGGTAAATTATCTGCACCGAACGCGAAGCGCGAGGTGCTAAGTACAATAAGCCTTCGTCAAGCAATAAACGCATCCATAGCATTCCGTAGCAGAGTATACGCTTTCCATAGCAGAGCTTGTCTGTCGCCCACGAAGCGCGTGGGTCACGCTTTTCCAATTCCACAAATTTCCCTTTCCATTGGCAGGGGTATTTCATAGCGTAACTGACGTAAGCGCTGTTTCAAGGACGTCGATAACATGGTTTTCTAATGGTTCTGGAAGCGAGCAATACTTGGTCTTGGTGCCGTTGGTATACGATTCTACATTATTAATTCCGATTTTAAATTTACATGATTTTGATTTTTTTCATGAGCAGTTATTGAGCACAAACTTTCTTGGTAAGAATTTCGATAAAAACCGTTTGCTTTTATTCACAAGTTGTGGACCACATCGAAATCTTTTCTGAATGTTTTCCTAAATGTAGGGTTCTGTAATGTTTTTCCTGAATGTAGTTTCCCAGATTGTCAGTAGATCTCGGGATCGTAGCAATAAACTGGAAAAAGCCAACGTCCAACTTAAACCATCCCCGAAGAGCGCCATCAGAACTGGGTTTGCTGTGCGCCGTCACTCAGCCGCCATGTCGATTCATAGTTTCACATTCCTAGCGGACAGACGCTCGCGCTCGGTGCAATGATGTGGTTAACAACCACCACTAGTACTCATAATGACTGTAAGTAATAATCATGCTTCGCTTCTACCGTTCATCATATTTCAGCTCATAATCATAACTCATACCCGTACCGATACCACTACTCATACCAATCCTTAGCGTTGCACAACGCGTCTTTTCGGTGACATAAATTATTGGCTGCCACCCATTTCGCCTGCGGGACATTTCGCCTAAAGGACATTTCGCCTAAAAGACATTTCGCCTAACAGTTTGATTCGAATCATAAATAACACAAATAAGAAACCTAAGAAAACCTACAAAACTTAGAAAACCTAAGAAAACCTAAAAAAACTAAAGAAAACTAAATAAAACTAAAGAAAACCTAAGAAACCTAAGAAACCTAAGAATAACCTAAGAAACCTAAGAATAACCTAAGGATCATAAATAACACACCTAAGAAACCCTAAGAAACCTAAGAAAACCTAAGAAAACATTAAAATATTAGAAAAAATAATACACCATAACAAAACGCTTTTGGTGTTAGCGTTATTAATATGATTCGAATTGAATTTATAGGCGCAATGTCCCGTAGGCGAAATGTCCCGTAGGCGAAATGTCCCATAGGCGAAATGGGATGATACCCATAAATTCATGCCTGGAATCGTATTATGTTATTACTGGAAATCCATAGCATGCTATTACGTTAAAAACATGAAAGAGCTTTATTTTAAATGAGTAAATAGATTCGAGGAGAGATGGGCATCGATGCCTAAGAATCTAAAGATTATTCTGCAATCATGATTCACTTGGATACGCACGCTGTGATGCTGGAATCACCGAGGTGTGCATCTCGATTCCCCGGGATTCACTGGAATTCACTGACAAAGTTTTTATAAAAAATTACGATTATTCTGCAATTATTCTGCAATTAAGATTTACTCGGATACGTACGCTGTAATGCTGGATTCACTGCGATGAAATAGCAAAAAATCAAAATTGGCACAGAAAACCCACTTAAACTGTTCCCCGTGGAAAAATTAAATAAACTAGTTAAATCTATTAAAATATAAATTTAATAAGTTATGGAAAATAACTGGCACTGATACTTTTGGAAACAATTATCAACCTGAGAAATAAGTAGCAAAAGATAAAGGATAAAAAAATAATCGCGTACTAAATAATTTCGAGCAATTGATTGAATTAAATAGTAAAATTCACCAAAATAAAATTTCTCAAAATTACACCTCAAACCAATTGAAATTGTTCGGTTCGGAAAATGACAGTAAATAAATTAAATAAATTGCTTAAATAAAATTAAACGGATCACGAAAAAAAGGAGTGTTACTGGTAAACTGAGAAACAACTAAATTATTATAAGTATTCAATTGAAAAATGGTGGTATGGGAAAAATGGGGAACTTCTGATTGTATAAATATAACAAGATCGTACAAAAAATTTACTGTGATAAAAAAATTGTTTATCTAAAATTAAATCAAAAATATGAGGAATTTTATAAAAGGAGAAAATTTTACCATGTGTTAAATGTTAATTGTTGCAGATTAAATGGGGCGCTGCCGCCATTGTGAGGCCGGCAACGCGGTTTTTTCCCTAACGATGCTGGCGTACGTCCTGGTCATCTCCAACGAAGATGTCGACTACAGCATTCGATAAAAATACTTAATGAAACTGTTCCCGGTATTGCGTGGATTTTTCCCTGTTTTCAGTTTTTCTACATCGATCTTCTGCCGAATTATTATGTTCAGTATTCGCGCAAATGGCTGTTTTGCTGACGGGTTGTATTAGCGGTTCGATTTTCGGTCGAATTGCGAAGCAGCAAGCTGTTTACTCTGTGATCTGATGGCACAGTAATCAATTCTCTCACATTTGGCCTTCGTGTTTTTTCGTTGTTATTTTCCTGCGAAACATGGCCCTTCCAGTTGAATTCAGCGCTACAAAATGAACTGGCACTCAATTAGCAACTGAGCTGCTTAATTAGTTTATTGATCTGAATTAGTTAATTTTTGACAAATGGCGAAACCTTCTTTGCGAAAAATATCCCAGCATATTCTTACAACTAGAAGAGCGGTGCAAAACATTCTGATCCATCGCGCTAATTGTTTCCCTCTTATACGTGCAATTAGCAACGTACTACGTAGCTTCCCTGTAGAAAATTTAAAGCGACAGTTATTTTGTAAGCACAATATGAGGTTCTTTCAGTCAAAATTCTTGAAGTATCATTTTCTCTTATTTCTCGCTCCTTATCCCTTCGCTGTTTTTCGAGTCTCCGGTGCCGCTCATGCAAATCGTCCTGCGATAAATGCATTTTCTCGCTGATGCGTGACTAGTAAGCGTAGCATTCAAACATCGCTCGCATAAGTCCATCGGTATGTGTTGTTATTGGTTATTGCTTATCTCGTTGGACTTGGAACCAAAAAAATTGTTAAAGCAATACCAGGCTGGGAATCATGAAGCTGGATATGCTTGAGGTCTGCTATTGTCTTGGGACCCCTTGAGTCATAAACCAAGGGATCCCTTGAAATCGACAATTTCCATTCGTGGTTGGTAGGCCAATGACAAACGGTAAAAGCAGTTCAAATATTGTTTTGGAAATACCAACCAGGCACATTTCCAATGAAGTGCAGTGGTTGTGGAATGACTTTGTCACAATCCATATGCTGTATACAGCATATATAATGTAAATGGAATGTTAGCCAATTGGAATACGTGATGCCTGTATTAGCCCTCCCTCTATCTAGTTCTGAGGTGGGGCTTGTGTTCTTACAGCGCATCAGCCGAAGCTTTCCTATACAGTGAGAAGACCTGCTATGTAATACAGAGCAGGCAGGTTCAGCTAGACTACGCTTATACTATGTGGAAACGGATTTAATTTTGTCCTGTGCAGTACTCGTACGATTTGGAGAAATCAGCACGTTGACGATTTTTAAAGCTTTACACGGCAGCGCTAGGGGCGCAGGTGGCGCTCAGGGGAGGCAGAATGAGTTATCACTATAGTTTGGCAGCCCGAAGCGCCCTCTATCATCTGCCGCTTTGACCAGCTCGACATGTTGAGCCGTTCGCGCTGTTTCTGTCTAAACGGGACTGACTGGAAGAACGAATTATTACTCACATTATTATTACCGTGTTGGCAATGCAGTGTCTTCGAGGCTCTATGGCTTACGAATATTACGGATCTTTAGATATTATTGTCTTGTTTTATTAAATGGGTATTACTAATTAAAATACTTTAATTACTGAAATTAATTATCGCTATAATTACTGAAAATGAATTCCCACCGCCGTTTCACGGCAAATGAGCTGCTGTATCTTATACTGAGCGACAATGTTCAAGACGATCGCGACGAATTATTGCCACACAGTCTGGATTTCGGTGAAGATTCCAAGTTGCGTCAAAATCTGGATTTGATTAATAATCCAGACTCCCAGGACTCAGCAGAATGTGAAGAACCTTCTCAAGCAATCAGATCGGACCACGACAAAGATGGGAACACTCAAGGTAAGCAGCAGCTAAATATCGTTTTGCAGTACACTGTATAAGCTCTTTGTAGCGATTTTGTTACTATTCTTAAGAAAACTACTCGACTCAAATTATTACAGTATTACTGCGCATTATGTTAATTTATTTAAACATCGTTTCCTGCGCTTAGTTAACAGTTCCTGCGTTCACTTCGTAATTGCATTAATTTTTAGCGTCGTCGGAACCCACTGTTGACATACCGTCTGACAGCGAGCCACATGCAGAATTATGGAAAGCCATTGCTACGTCAGCTCCGACAGCGCCCATGACACCCAGCACCTCTGTTGTGAAAAGAAGAGGACCCCTTCCAGAGAAAAATGGGAAGCAAATGAAAGATCTGCGGGAGTCCATAAATGCCTTTTCTTGCGGTTGTGATCCAGGGTGCGTGGCCAAGATTCTTGTCGACTACTTAGAAATGTTTATGCAGCAAGTTTCCCAGCTCACTCGCCGCAAAAGATGGCTGTTTTTGAAAGGGAAATTAATGGAGTCAACAAGCATTTCTGCTGCAAAACGGTGTCTATAAAGCGGAACGGAAGAATTGTCCACTATGCAGTTCCGTGGACAGTACAGCTGGTATTCAGTTGTGTCGCGAAGGGTTTTTGTTCGTCTTTGGTCTCAAGCAGCAGCTACTTTATGTGATCAAAAACCATCTTTTTTCCGACGGGATCTCGGATAAAGAGCACGGTCTTGTCGGACATAAAAGTTCGCACTCTTTGTCTGCTGAGGATACTGAAAGAGTGTCGGCGTTTATTTTGGCTCAATCCGAAGTTTATGGCTTACCAATGATTTTCGTTGATAAGCGAACCAGCGCAGTTTGCCCAACCATTTATTTGCCAGCATCCGCAGAAAAGATAAAGGTTTGGCGCGATTATAAAGATAGATGCTTTGCAAGTTCCGTCCCTGTTCGCCATGTGCAATACACCACGTTCGTGGCTCAGTGTCTAAAGCTTCTTCCGCATGTAAAAGTAGTGAATCTGCGCTCGGACATTTGTTTCACCTGAGTTGACATTGCTGGCTGATATTTTGCAAACCTTCCTATAGCAAATTAAAAAATAATCGTTGTTGTTTTTGGTATTATTTTTTGCGGTATAGTTACCGAAAAGCGCCATTGCACATTTGCCGACACTATTCTCATACCGCCACAAACGACGGGAAAACTGAAAAACATGTCCGCACCAGATTGCGTTTTTCAGGAGATAGTACTGCCTGGACTGATCAAAAGGCATGCTCAAAAATTCACCTGAAAGACCTTAGAAACGTCACAGTTTCACGATCTCAGATGTTTTTTTTTAAATTCCGCGGGAAATTATCAATTTCATGAAGAGGGAGCAAAGCAACGAAAATTTCTACGACAGAAGCGGAAAGAAACTGGAATGATTTATTCAATGAGTCTTTATCAGAAGCAAGTCAATTTCCTCGCAGTCTTTTTCATATATGCATAACATCCTGCTTAGAATCGTAACACAAAACCATCAGCGTGATACCGATAAATCATTGCAAACCGAAGTGCGAAATTAAGCTCAATGTATTTTGCTTCCTGCCCGAATGGTTATCTTGGTAAGAACTACAGAAAGCAGAATGAAAAACGTGCCTACAGATTGGTTGTCAAAAATAATTTTAGGGCATCATCGAGCAACTTTTCAGCCATCTTCACCTTCTGTTCCGTCAATGCTCGCTGACGAAGCAAATTATCTAGCTTTTGCGTTACGCGCGTGTTTTCCTTTCGGAAAACCGCATTTTTACCTTCAAGTTTGTAGTAAGCTTCCTTGTAATGCCTTATTTGGTCGCTAGCGCCTTCTAGGTCGAATTGCAGTTCCCCTGCTTGCTCTTTAAATGCATTTTTTTCGGACTGCAGTTACTGTTTGCCTTCCAATAGCAAAGATATGGGTTTGCCTTCCAGTAGCAAAGATATGGTGTTCTTGCACTCCGCATTTTCGCGGGCCAAATTTTCCATCCGGACTTGCATTTGTTTCGCAGTTTCCACCAATTGGGCATGCTGTCAATCGAAATATATTAGTTAACACATATCAGGTACGAATGGAGTTTTCTTTTTGTTACCTCCATTATGAGGTTGGACAGTTCCCTGGTTTTTGCGTAGGCAGTTTGAGGACCCAGCGATCCGAACTCCACCAAGACATCATGGTGCTTTACCAAACCGCATCGCAAGTGCTGGATATGGTTGCTGCCCCCAGTGGTTTCCAATCGAGCTTCCTGTATTGATTCCTTTAGAAGAACCTTGATGGAAACTTGCTGCGTTAAAGGATCGAATTTCCGTACCTGGGGTGATCCCTTTAGAGGAATTTTGCGTTTTTCCATTCTGGTTGCTTGAAATCTTAGAACTTCGATTTGAAAACGTTTCTTGCCGAAACCAAAATACTTAACTTTGGACAGAGAATCCGAGTTTTCATTTACAACCATCCAACGGTATTCAGCGGTCAAAATCAAAACTGGATTGCGACTAAAATGAATAACAGCGATTAATAAAATCCAAAACAGTCAAGCAAATGCTGTAGTTGACTCATTGAGATAATTCGTAAGTCGCTTTTCGTTATCTCGTCAGCTCTCATTTAAAAGTGTTTGATAAGTGTTCCTCTCCCATTTGCAGCGCTCTTTGCAGAAACCCTAGGTTTACCTTCCGTTGCACGTCAGCTTTAGGGCTGCAGGTGGCGCTCAGGAGGCAAAATAAGTTACTAGTACGGTTTCGTAGCTTAAAACGCCTTCCACAATCTCGTGTTTGGTGCACTCTGATATGTTGACCCGTTCGGTGCTATTCGTTTTTAAGACGGACTGGAAATGACCACAATGTCCCAATAATATTATACGCAATATCACACAGCTTGGGGATAGGTGCTTATAATACTGCTGAATTCACTTTTGACTTTTATTTTGCGAGCAGTTTTCTTTTTTATGCATTGCTTAGTGCTTGAACTAAGTATTTAGGACAACTGTTATCATTTATTAATTTATCACTTGACCTTAAAACGAATTTCTTTCGTCGATTTACTGCAGATCAGCTTTTAGAATTAATTCATAATTATCCCGACGCGGAGGATCCTCCTGATATTCTAGCGAAAAGAACAAAAGTGGTGGAAGAGGACGAGTTAGGAAGCAAGTAGTAGTCATATTATAATTGGTCAAATTTTCCGTTTGTTTGCATTTCTTGTCCACCTGTATTGTACCTGTTGATTGGCGAATAGCTATTATCTGTTGCGTAAATAAACTAAACTAAAAAAATAAATAACTTTTCGCTAAAAGCAGCGCAGTTCTAATAATTTTTAACGTTCTTAAGATGAAGCGGAGTACAATTGTCGCTCATCTGACTGACAACGAACCACATGCTCAGCCATGGAATTCTGTGATCACGCCTGAGGAGTTTTCAGTTCATGCAAAGTCTTCAAACAAACCGGGCTCTCCTCCTGGAAAGAAAGCTGACAAGGCCAAGATTTTTCGATAAAAAAATCAAGACTTTCCGTGACGCGATGAAGAACGCGTCGAGAAAATTCCTGTGGACTTTTTGGTAATGTATATGCAGCAGGAGCCGGAATTATAACGACAAGGAAGATATTTATGAAAGGAAAAATATTTGAAACAATAAATATTTCTCGTGCGTTAAACGCGCAGCTGATGGCGATTCGAGAGTTGGAAAAAGAGCACGGCTTAACTCGAAGTTCGGTTTTACGGCGGGTATCGAAAGGTGTCTTCAAGGGTCACGTTTGTTTTTGGGATCCACGAGAACTTCCAGTATGGTATTTTCTGAATAAAAATAAATTTCTGAATAATGTAAATTCTCACAGAGCTCGGCCTCAGGGAGAAGAAACGGCACAGTGCTTTATCCGAATGCGGCTTTGAAAGGGTAGAAGCTTTCGTAATGAGCATAGCAGAAGTGTACGGCTTGCCAATGCCGCTTGTGAAAAACCGGATCAGAAAACGATGCTCGTAGCGAAAAATCCAAGTTAGTGTGATTACAGGGACTCCTAATCCAGTGCGTCAAGTGCAGTGCTGTATTTTTGTAGAATTATGGTTGAAACATTTACCGAAACAAGACGATTATAAGCCCATGGTCAGATAATTTGTTTTACTTGCGACCTGCTGATTGATGTTATCAGATAATTTAAATCAGAATTAATAACAAATAAATTTTCCCGGTTGTTTTAATTAAATTTTCCCAGAGTTATTCTTTACAAATCCTCTTTTTTTTGTTAACTCTTTTCAAATTGTTTTTGTCACACTACCCGTTGTGAAGCCAGTAAGGAAACAAAACTTAAGGAATATCATGAGCACGTTATACTATACACCGAGAAAAGAAAATTTTATTGGGAGTGCATTCGCACTGCTCGGGTGTGGTGCAAAAATTACGGAATAATTGTTTTTGACCAAAAAAGCAGCTTGTTTCCTATCACTGGCGTGTATACTATTGCTGTTCGCTCTTTTGAATTCGCCTAACTTATAATGTTTACGAAATAACATGAGCTGACAGGGCCTATACACTTCGAAATCCCTTTATGACTGCTCATTTTTGGCCTTGTCAACGAAGCCCTGCCCGGGTGTTCATTTTCCATTTTTACCAACGCGGAAACATTGGGTCAAAAAGTGGAGGGTCCTTATACGGTCCTTTCACAATGGGTCAAAAAAACAACGCGGAAACATTGGGTCAAAAAATGGAGGGTCCTTATACAATCTTTAAAAAACGGAGGGTCCTTATACGGTCCTAACACAGTGATTTCCTTTATATATCGAGACTTTAAGTGAACGCCAACGAGAAGCAGCATTAAAAGTATGACTAGGACAATTGTTTCGTTTGAATAAAAATAGATACATCATAATATCTAATTTGGCGTTGCTTAAAGACAGTGAGAGGTTCGTCACAGTGGAAGCTCAGTGCGTGCTGGTTTGCCATACCAAGTTCAGTCTGGATCGTGTTACGTACCATGCGGAAGTTGTGTAACGATGAGCGCATAATGACATAATTCTGATATCAGATAGTTATGTAAACTGTTAACGTGGAATATGTCATCTTTATGATTGATGTGTGTGCATCTTTTATGCTAAGTGCTGCTTAATGGTTTCTTAATGAGCTCTTAACGGGATGAGTGTACTGACGGATGTCATAGTTAGATCAGCGTCCTAATGTCGTGTTAGTATTTAAGTCTTTTTGCCTGCAGTGCACAAGTTAGTGTGTTGGATTTTCAAGTCTAGATCACTCTCTTAGTTCCGCTGTGTACAGACTCCCGGAAGTGCCTATTAAAATGTAGTTAACCTTTTCATGTTGCTTATGCTTACATTGCGCTACCTCCGGTATTCAACCAACCCAACGCATTTATAAGCGTAACATTTGGCGACCACGATGGGAATACCGTGTCAACCAGGTACGCGTAGTGACCTTAAGCGTAAGTAACACTTTTGCAGAACATCTTTTCTTAATGACCTTTTCAGTTTTAGTAAATTTTTCGGTGTTTAGTAAGAGGTGTCGGTGCTAATCGCTCGTAATTATCTGCTCCTATGTTATAAGATAATTTATTTAATTTTGAAATAATGTTGCGTAGAGGGCACCTTGATTATGTATCGGATGTCAGGAAGGTTGGCAAGTATCCATTTGATATGAGCCGAAAAAAATTTTAAAATATTTCTGCGGTGGTTACGTTGTCTTATTACATACAGCGAGGATAGCAAATCGAACGACCAGTGGACCACTTCTGATCATATTTAGCGCCTTCCGTTTAAGTCAATCTGAACAGCGAGCGAACCGCATAAGACATATTTGCAAGATATTTGTTTTTGCATTTGTTTTTGTTGTTATTTCACTATTGAAACTTCCGATATATTGTTTATTTTAATAACAGTGTAAAGAATACATATAGTGAAATTGTAAATGTCTTCGTTTCTTTTTATTTGTTTACGGCATTTCAGGTTGTTTGTGTTAATACTTAATTTTTGTTTCACACTTACGTTATCTTATACTGGCGAACGATATACGACATACTTGGATTCGAAATTCTGCTGGCGGCATACGTTTCCGTTTTTTATAGTGCGACAGTGGCTTAGCATGCGCGAAAGAAATGCGTCTTCGTCCTATTTTTGGACACCAGTTCGATAACATTAATTTTGTGGTTGACGGTTGCATGGGACATGTGGCTATACATTTTATTGCAGGGACAGGGAGTAATACGTACTCCAAAGAACAGCCGAAAGCGCGCTCGAAGTGCGGTGCATGGCTTGCGTTTTATTAAATAATGTCCTAATGTGGACGTGGACGAGGTGTAATTATGGACACCACTCGTATATTTAATTTGGGCATGGGTTGTGTTGCACGTTTTAATTATTGATATACAGTAGTTACTGATGCATTCGCTCAAAAATGAGCGCGTCGAGTCTGCACGCGTTTGCAGAAGGGTCCTGCCCAACACATTAAGTAAAAAGCATTGCAGAAAGGGCAATGTCGATGTTGCAGCGTAATGCAGTGAGTGCAGCAAGCCACGGGGAATTAAGTTTTGTTGTCCCGTAGAAAAGTCAATAATATTTGGATTAATGCAGCGAAGGAAGTATTTGTAAACAACCCCGAGTCCCCGAACCCCGGAAGAAAGTGATTTAAGGCCCGCTAAGCCTGGATAAGAAGTTCGTCATGACCTTTTACGTTGTTTGTTGTTGTCTATCCTTTAGTGTGTCTACTGCTGAAAAAGTCATAGCGATTACGGACTTTGGTAAACCCGGAAAAAGAAAACAAACATTTTGAAGTGCTCCTGAGTGAAAACTCTGGACGAAAACAGCATTTGATCTATCCCTATGGAATCAGGCCTACGGCCCAATCTAGGAGAAACGTTTTTCAGATCGGATTATAGCAACAGTTGCAGTTTACGAGTCGTCTCTTGCCCCTCGAATCCTTGGAGAACAATACTCTGGTGATCGACGCCAGCATGTACAGTAAATGTGTGTGGTCTACGGCAGTGTGTGGTCTACGGCATCCGCGAGGAATGTTCTCACCCATGCTCGTGTACTGGTGCTTACTAATTTTCATAGAAAAGTAACTACTCAGTGCGACTTAGCGAAACAAAAGTACTCCAGGATGATACAACGGTCTGCCTCATCTGGATCACAGAATTATTCACAGAACTTTACTGTGATGGGGAAGGAAAAGCTAGCGAGAGCAGTAGTGATGCGCCGGTTCTTTTTGAAGTGGGGAGATTTTGGAACGGTTGAAGCATCGTTCCCAAGCAAGCGCTCGCACTGCCAGACCTCGTTAGTGAGCAGAAAGATGAGATTAAGCTGGAGCGCACCGGCGCTGGATTTACAGTGCGACCATAAACGATGAAAGTTCCGAAGAGAAAAACAAATGGCCGATGATGTACTGTTGCCGATCATTACACGACTGAACGCACAGACGACGCCGACGCATCTGAAAAGTATTTCAATGTGCAACTACAGCCAGCCAAAAGTCCAGTTATCAAGAATGTCAAAAGTGCTTTGGAAAAGGAAAACGACAAAAAATTGAACGAAGAGAAGTTGAACGAGCAATTGCGGCAGGTACCGTAAGCCAATACCGGAAGCCGTCGTGAATTAACGTCCGGCAACCAAAACGGCTTTAAGGAAGGAAGAGTCCGCAGATGACAACCAGTAAATACGATGCCATATATTCAACCTTCAACATACCACTGCGAGCGGCCAGGCAACATATCATTAATCATGTCAACCCGGGAGGATTTGCGTGCAGCTATACAGTACATCAGCAAGGACCAAAGAAATGCTGCGCATTTCTTATTCTAAGCGGGAGGAAATGTTACGTACCATGCGGAAGTTGTGTAACGGTGAGCGCATAATGACATAATTCTGATATCAGATAGTTATGTAAACTGTTAACGTGGAATATGTCATCTTTATGATTGATGTGTGTGCATCTTTTATGCTAAGTGCTGCTTAATGGTTTCTTAATGAGCTCTTAACGGGATGAGTGTACTGACGGATGTCATAGTTAGATCAGCGTCCTAATGTCGTGTTAGTATTTAAGTCTTTTTGCCTGCAGTGCACAAGTTAGTGTGTTGGATTTTCAAGTCTAGATCACTCTCTTAGTTCCGCTGTGTACAGACTCCCGGAAGTGCCTATTAAAATGTAGTTAACCTTTTCATGTTGCTTATGCTTACATTGCGCTACCTCCGGTATTCAACCAACCCAACGCATTTATAAGCGTAACATTAATGTAATGCCAGTATGAGGACCATGATGTCATGGACCAACGAGATGGACCATTACATAACCTGGACATAATACTTGTGTAACCGTAATGACCTGTCAAAACTATGTATTTTTACTAATATGAAGTCATTCGAAGTCATAATATGCTGATTGAATACCGGCAGATGCTACAGCATCTGTTGTAATGTTCTCTGTGCTGTATACACTAATGAACCTTTAATGTTTCCTTTACATTAAGCTGTCATAACTAATCTGAGAATCACAACTGGATACGCTAGCATTTCTCTTATAAACCAGTGTGCCGGCTGGGTAAAAACTCACTCTCATTCGACTCACTTTACTAACACACTTTTGAGGATTAAAGCACATTTTATCAGTATTGCACTGCTTATACCGGGATTACATTACCCGTGACCGTTCGACCTCGGTCATAACAATCGGTTATTTAATCCGTTAAAGAAGAAGCTCGGAAGGAGCGATAACAGCGTTCCCAGGCAATTTATTGAGCTAGCAAATACGATGCATCATTCTAGCGGGATTACTCATGGCGAATGGGGCTTCATCCTGATGGACGGGAAGCTGTACTTCGGTGACCGCTACTGCACCATCTCTGGAATTCGGTAATCTCAACATTCAGTATTTTCGAAACCAACAACAGCGGAAAAAAGAATTATCAAGATGAAAAAAGGCAGAAATTCATTCGCGCAAGACGATTTCTTCGACATCGTTCATCCAGTGGGATCAACAAGCGATAGAAAGAACTATCTGAAGGATAAAATTCCGGACCACGTTCGCTTGAAGTTCAACAGAGTTTTAAAAAACATTCTTCCTAGCCGTGTTGTACTTCCCTCAAATCCTTTGTACTTTTTTAGGGATTTTTATGAGATTTTTTTGGTTGTATTTGAATTTAAGGGGCTGGTCCTCGTTGGCCTTTTCTATAATGTGAAAGTTAAAATTTCACGGTTATCTATACGCCAATTTCTGCGCAGTAATGACGACAGTTTTACGTTATTTATCATCAGAAATTTCAGGCCCCTCTGGGGCGCGGTGCGTCATTTAAGAAGGGGCAGTCTCGTAAACTTATATATTTAGCGCTAATTTACTAATTGTGCCATATTAAATTTGTTTTATATTAAAAATATTATCATCGTAAGTTTTTCCAAAATATTGCAAAGATTGCCAAAATTTTTAGCAATCTTTGAACACTTTATTCTCGAAATCGTAGTTTTGGGGGACAGATTCGGTAAGCAATAACTTAAGTATTTTTGGTCAGATTTTGACAATTTTTGAATCAGTTTGTAGAAGAAAGCCGGTTTTATAAGACAGTGTAAAAAGCCTGGATTCGCTATGTGACTTCAAATCTCGGAAACTTAAGTAGCTGTTCATATTTTCTAGCTTTGATTGAAACCTGTTTGTCTTGTAATTGGTGAATGTTGCTCTATTGAGAGCATGGGGATGGTCTAAGCAGGTTAGAAGGTTTATTATGCTGATGCACCCTATAGATCAATAATTTTGATCAAAGGGAATGTTAGTTGACAGCAGTAACTCGCTCTATACAAAAAATGCTTGAACTGGTCATGGACGCATAAGTTATTGGTTTTTGGACTATTTTAACTTTGATTCAAAAAACGTTCTCCATTCAAACTATGGTCCTGCATTGGACAAAGAAACCCCAGTTCAGTTCAATTCGTAGTTATGGATTGAATCGGATCGGAATTTCACTGACTGAAACGGATCGGGACTGAGTATGGAAAAAACCCCCAATTCAGCATGAATTTGAATAATAACTTCTTGCAAACTCCCCTTCAAAAAGTTTATATACGTTTAAATTAAACCTTATTAAAAGCAATCAAGCGGTCCAAGTAATCAAGTGATGCCATTTCAGCGGTAGTGCCGCGCTTTTATAAGACACAGGTGTCCCCATGCGAAATCTGGGACACTATGTGCGATGTTTATTTAGGCCGAGTCTGAAGAGTTTCCCCTGCGCAGTGTCCCTTCGTGCGTGAACTGGAAAGCGAATGTCCAGCGCCACATTCAAGACGCAAGTCTGGCCGCGCCGTAGTTAAACAGAAAATCGATTTTTTTGAAAAAAAGCTCTACTTTTAATCTAGAGTGTACCAAAAATCCGATTTCACTCGATTTCGCAGTATATTTTTAAATTGACCACGATTGTTTTGACACGGAATGGCTTAGTTGGCTTAAATTTTAAATTAGCTATTGAATTTCAAAAACTTTGAAATTCATTTTAAAATTTTAAAACAACATTTTTGCGGTGGTTGCGCGTCAAAACGATTCTTATACCGATGGTCATTTTCTGGTGAAGTTTGAAAGATATTGAATGATAACCAGACTTTTGGTACACCGAGGCCACTTCAAGATTTTTGCCCTTTCCATTTTTAAATAACTTTGCAATAAAACGTTGTGCGCACATACGGTTTTCGATATCGCTTTAACTAGTCTCTCATCTGCGGATAACAACAAAAAAATTTAAAAATAATAATTGTTTGTACGCAGATAATTGAGTTAGTACAGGCAGACATTGATATGAGGCTATGTACCGGGCCAAATCCCTTAACGCATTGCTTTGCATAAGCGCGCAGGCTTTACGGCAACTTTGACAGTTATCGTCGTGGCTGAAACGGTCTTGCGGACTTGCGCTAAACGTCACGAATTTGGGGAGGAGCAACAGATAACAGCAGTAAAACTTAAGAGCGAGTGAAAACTTTATCTCCTTAATCTCAGTATGCGATTATATTACTAGTACGTTGTCTACGAGCATGAACATACAATACCTCTAGTCAAAATTTCGCGCTTGACCACACCCACTGGGCCATTGCCGATGAAAGTTTTTTTTAAGTATACCCTAGGGCCTAGGCCTACTCTCCCTTCAGACAAAAAAACTGCATTTTTCTGATAGGCGAACATCTGACCGGGCCCTGGTCCGGTACTGTAAGCCAAAAAAGCCGGTTTTACAATGGCTAGCCGTATACGGCACTGCACGGTCAGTCCCGCCCTTTTTGTCCTATTAAAGCGTACCGTACTCGTACCGTACGGTCCGTACCCGTAGGACGGTAGGACACGTAGGCAGAAACCGTACGTATCGGGCCGTAGCCATACTACACTCAGTACACTGTTTTCGGTCTCAGGCTCAGAATGGGCTGGTGTCACGAGCCGAAGTTGTCAGTCGTGCGCTTTGTATTTATTGGAGCTGAAGAGCCTCGCCACCGTACACCACACGGGGGATTTTCCATGAACTTGCCCGGGCATCACTACACCGTCCACCCCAGCCGCCCACCACGGCAGTCATTGCACAATATTTTGCGAATCTGCCTGGTTTCCTTATCGCAGTACCGACCAGACAGACAGCTGCAGTCTTGCCCAACGGTTAATCATCCATCTGCATGTTGATTCATGAATCATCCATCCATCTTGATCAGCAAACATTTCACCATCATCTGACATTTTTAGTTCCTCTCTTGACATAGACCATTTTTTAACGTTGTTGGGGATGTTGTTATTAATTTAATTGTGCAAAATCTGCAGCACAACGCCACCATGGATAGCGGCGAGCGCACCCAGCTGACCCGCCAGATCTTAGCCGAGAATCTCCGCACGGTGGACGAGCCGCGCTCTGACGACCCGCTGCTGGAGCAGCGCGGCGGGGGGCCGCGGCCGCGCTACGCCCCGCACCACACCCCGCCCGAGGTGATCCGCACGGCGTCCCCGCGGGCCGCGAACCCGGGGGTCGCGGGGAGCCCGAAGGAGTCCCCCACCTCGGAGACGGGCACGCGGACGTCGCATGCGCCCGACGGAGGCTACGGGTGGGTGATCGTCTTCGCCGTCTTCATGATCACCGTCATCCAGGACGGGTTGACGTTCTCCTTTGGCCTGCTGCTCCCGTATTTCAAGGAGGAGTACGAGGCGACGGACGGGTCGGGCTCGGCGGTGAATAGCATCTTGATGTCGTTTACGTTCTTTCTCGGTAAGGACAAACACTAAACAGGGCGAAATTAATTTGCAGCATTCCTGTTATTTTGCTGATTTTTGCTCAGAGGTTCGTCCACGTTTTGTATTTTTTGAATGTTATGAAAATTAATTTGAGCGTCGTGATTCAGATTGTGTCTAGCGCATTTTCCCCGTGTTTTTATAAGTTTTATTGTACTTGTTTTGCTTATACTGCAAAATATTTTTATTGTAATTTATTTATATAAAATTTTATTTCAATTTTAACGTTTATTTTCGTTTTGTTTTGGAGTTTTACCCTATTTTGCTTGTGCTGTATTTTATGCGGTTTATGTTAAATTATTATAAATCATTTATGATAAATGACTCTCATTTTCTTTTAACGTGGTGTTCTTTATCGAACCGCTGCATGTCAGGAATTAATTTGAAATTTTATCTCCTGCTACGGAGAAGTTTGGATGAGTGACTTCACTGACCTAGGACGAAAAATTTCTTTTGATTTTCCATAAAAATTATTTGTAATTTTTTGTTGTGATTGGATGCATCATGCATGTAAAGTTAAAGTTAAATCATCTACGATGTTAGATGCAAAGTTAGATCTGTTATTCGGGCCGTTATTCCTGTGCTGGTTTGCGTGTTGTCTGCATGTTAGCACTGTTTTGCAGCGCCCCTGGCCAGTATCTTATCGGACAAGTTCGGCGTGCGGAAAGTGGCCATGTGCGGCAGCATCATTGCCTTCCTGGGCGCACTACTCTCCGTCTTCGCCACGAAAATCTGGCATCTCTGGATCACGTACGGCGGCCTCATCGGTATGTGCGCTGCCTGTGTCGGAAATTATTTTTTATTTCTATTATATTTTATTATTCTTATTTTTAAATTAAGAAAGAAGAAAACCTAAGACACCTAAGAAATTATTATTTTTTTTACGAAAATTAATCGATTTTATTTTGTACAGCATTTTCCTGTGGACTAGTTATCGTCACTAATTTTTTTATATATTAAATTTCTATAAAGAAGAAATCGTTTAGTAGAGGAATTTATGATAAGAAAATTTCCGTGTAATAAAAAAATTATTTTACTGTTGAATAATTCCCTGGGTGTTTTTTGTTTATCGAAATTCTGATGAGTGTACTAGTAATCAGTCAGCGCGAGATACCAATGGTCGGCGTATCGTGCCGTTGCACTACGTTATCGGTTGTTCGTGCACCGATGACCGTTAAGTTATTAACGATGATACATTGATTAGCCGTCCGTAATTATTACTGCGTAAATTTATTCCAGTTTAGAAAGTGGTTTACTTGTTTTCTGCGTTTGAATTTTATTTTTCAAATGTTAATTTGGGTTTAATATTTTTAAAAAAAATTTTAAAAAAATCCAGAAAATGTTAAATGGATTTAGCATTTTTGGAAAATGTCAAATCCAAATGTCCAAGCCGGCCTTCGTAACGAGCGCCTCATAGTTATTGTATAACTCAAAAAAATAGTAGTGTACGTATCTATAGAACAATGTAAAGGATTTTTTAATTCATTTTGGCGATACAATACAGTCACAAATTTCCGATAAAAGTGAAAGATTTGTACGGAATACACAGCTCAGCCGATTACGGAATCGCAAAAATTATTTCGTATACATCGCAAAAATAATTTTAATAATTTAGGTTTTCATTTAATTGATGCATGAACGTAGGCATCGGGTTCGGGATGATCTATTTACCGGCCATCGTCACCGCCGCCTCGTGGTTCGAGGAGCGCCGGGCGACAGCCATGGGGCTGGCGGTGTGCGGGACGGGCGTGGGCGTGGCCATGTTCTCCTTCACCGTGGAGCCGCTGATCGCGCAGTACGGCATGCAGGGCTTCCTTCTCGTCTTATCGGGCATCGTTCTAAACGTCCTCGTCTTCTCGGCCATGCTGCGCGGCATCCCCCACTCCAGCTACGAGAAGCGCAAGGCGCAGCGCCGCCGCAGCGGCCGCGGCGGGCGGGACGCCGGCGACGAGGTCCAGATGGAGCCGCTCAACGAGAAAGCCGCACCGGTCAGTTGGTCGGCACATTTCCAATAGGGAAAAAATTATTTTAAATTTTTTTTTACCTTTTTTACAAATTGTCCCTGAATTTCCAATAGGGAAAGAATTATTTAAAATTGTTTTACCTTTTTTACAAATTGTTCCTGAACTAGCTGTTATTTTGAAATAAAAAGTCCAAGTTTTCGTATTTTCTTGTGAAATATTTGCATGAAAATTTGGATGATTTTTCCTAAGAGGGTTTTTTTTAGTAAACATAATTCTAGAATAATTTTTTCACACATTTCGTGAAATATTTTCTGTTTCTAATTTTTAAAAATATGAGAAAATGGTGAATTCGAGAAAATAACCGCATCAGTATATTTCGGATTTTCATATCTTGCATAACGAATATTTTCACACGTGTACTATTTTTTATTTTTCAAAATTATAATTTAAAAAAATATTTTGTAGGTTTTATGCCAGACGAATGGAATAAATGGAATAAAAATTAAACTGAAATAAATACAAGGGCACCTAAATATTTGGAAATATTTCTCCAAAAAACAATGGTTATTTTCCCGAAGTAGCAGTGTTTTCTCAGTTTCTTCTCCAAATTAAAATTTTGAAAATATTGGCTGACCAATATATAAAATGAAATACAGATGAATAAAATGGCCATAAAGTATTGAAGGAATTTTCTGTAAAAAAATACGTATTAATTCATTCATTCATTTAATCATGATTAATGGCGTAAAAATTGACGGAATATGTGGCGATTGTAGGACACTGACACGGCGGCGCCGGCCGCGGGCGGCCGTCTGCCGTTCCTGCGGCAGTGGCAGTACTGGGTGATGCTGGTGGTGATTCTGCTGTGCGGCTTCAGCGCCTACATCCCCTTCATGTTCCTGGTGTCGCGCGCCCAGCACGACGTGGGCCGGCACGTCAACGGGCAGGCGCTGACCTACATCACCGGCGGACTGAACGTGGTGGGCCGGCTGTTCTCCGGCTTCCTCTCCGACCGCAAATGGTGCAACCGCGGCGTGTTCTACGCCAGCTCCTACATCATCTCCGGACTGAGCAGCATCTTCTCCTGGTTGTGCTATAATTTCGAGACGTTCGCCGTGTACGGCGCGGTCTATGGATTTAGCGGAGGTTAGTGCGAGATACAAGGCATTTTATTGGCAGAATTTTATTTTATTTTATTTGGAAAATAATGTACGAGTATTTTATTAGGGAAATATTATTCTGTTATATTTTATTGGGAAAGTAATCAATATTGGGAAAATAATTTATAAGGATAATGATATTTTATTGGGAGAATATTTTATTTTATTATATTTCATTGGGAAAATAATTTATAAGGATAATGATATTTTATTGGGAGAATATTTCTATTTATTAAGTATATTTCATTTGGAAAATAATTTATAGGGATGGTGATATATTTTATTTAGAGATTATTTTATTATATTTCATTGGGAAAATAATCTGTAATTAGGAAAATAATTTATAAGGATAATAATATTTTATTTGGAGAATTTATTTTATTCAGAAAATTATCTGCAACTGGGAAAATAATTTATAAGGAAAATAATCTATGATTAAGGACTATTATTTTATTATATTTTATTGCGAAATTATATTCTACTGGGAAATTGTATATAATATTACATTTTATAGGGAAAATTTTATTTTGTTTGGAAATTTATGCATAATACGCTGATTTTATTTGAGCAGTTATTATTATCAAAAATACATGTGGAATTAAAATACATTTTGTCGGTGAAATAAGCGAGCTTTTCTGTGCAGGGATCATTATTGCGCTGCAGTCGGTGATTTTGTCGGATATTGTGGGGATTGACAATTTGTCGCCGGCCTTCGGCATCTCCCTGGTAGTGCTGGGCGCCGCGTCCCTCGCCGGACCGCCCACCGCCGGTAAGATGCGCCTTCTTTTTTTAAAAAAAAATCCCCGTTTATTTGCAGATTTAATTCCATAAAAATGTTCGATTACTCTCCTGCTGGTATTTTTTTTTTTAATTTTTTAATGTGGGTTAATGCGTATGTTAATGGAAATCTGTTGCACAGTTCTGTATTTTTATTCAGCTCAGTATCTTATTCAGTTTCTGTTGTAGTTTTAATTTTCCTTCCTGTCTTCAAAGCGATTTCCTGTGGTTTTTTTTGTATTTTTGTTCTTCCTAAAATTTATTACATGTACAGTAGTGATTTTCTGCAACTGTATGCTATTTTATTTGAACCCGTTTATTTGATATCTTTTTATTTATTTATTCATTTATCTGTTTTACATGATTTTATTGATGAATATTTGTATTGTATTTATTAATTGTTTATTCATTTTTAATTGTTACAGCAGTTGGTGTTAAGTTTTTATTTTTGTCATAAATTTTTTTCAGTTTTAGTCATTTTTCTTATAATTTGTATTAATTCCAATAATTTTTGTTATAAGTTTTTTTTTAAAAATTGCAGTACTTTTTGTTATAATTTATTTTTAATGCCAATAAATTTTTTTAAAATTCCAATAATTTTTATTATAATTTTATAATTTTTATTATAATTTTAAAATTTTTATTATAATTTTTTAAAAATAATTTTTGTTATAGGTTTTTTTTTTAAAAATTGCAGTAAGTTCTGTTATAATTTATTTTAATGCCAATAAATTTTTTTAAAATTCCAATAATTTTTATTATAATTTTATAATTTTTATTATAGTTTTTTAAAAATAATTTTTGGTAGGAGCGATCATCGCGGCGCAGGACAACGAGTACAAATGGACGTTCGTGGTGTTCGGCGTGATCGTGCTGATCGGCGGCGTGATCTTCCTGGTCGTGCCGTTGGGCGATCTGTGCCGGCGTCTGCTCGGGAAGCGCGGCAACAAATACACGCCCCCGCAACCCGGCAGCGTCAGCGCCTGATTTCTGCTCAATTTCCACGCGGCTAATCAATTACACAACGTTTTTACCGGGTTTTACGCTTGTTTTCTTCGTAGCATTTTTTTTATATATGCGTATGATGTGTTGTTAGCGGTGGCGTTTGTGCATGCCCGACAAAAGAGTTCCTGGTTTTTGTTTTTTGTTTTTTGCCTCTGATATCGTTTAACGTTGGTTGGGTTTGTTTTTGTTTTTTCGGAGTGATTGTGTTGTTTGTTTATTCGTTGGCGCTGTGTTTTTTACCGATTAAAAATTACCAACGCCGAAATCATCCGAAAATAATATTTTTCAGTAAATAAAATTTTTCATCTAAAAATAATTCTCATAACAACAAATAAATAAACTATAAATGAATAAGAATAATTTTTAATAAGTATTAAATTCTATTTTTCCCCAGTAATAAATCGGGGTGAATAGAAATTGTTAATAATTTTTTAAACTAGCAAACTGGATAAGATTGCAAAAGAATATTGGATTTTATTATTCATTGATAAATAATAATAATGAAAACTCTGAATAATACTAATACACAAAACTAAACGCAACTAAATGTTTAATACTTCAATTTTTTCAAACCAATGGATTTCCCAGCGTTTCAAAGGCGGCAGGTTTCGTAGTGCAGTGCCACAAAGTTGTAAACTGGTAATCTGCGACGGCCCGTTAGCTGGCTGCTTAACAGCGTAGTGCAGTAACTCGCCGTAATAAAATTAGCAAAAATATATTTTTTTTTTATTCTGTACTAACCAGTAACAGTGCAATAGAAAAACTTACCATTTTCCAGTTTTTCACTACATCTTGTTGCGAAATTATTTAAAAATTTCAATTGCTATGCGTTGCTCTTTATACGTATACTGTACCTGAATAAACTGTGAATAAATCAACCAGAAACTGATGTGAACTTTATTAGCGGTATAATTATGACGCCAAATTAATTACAAAATAAACGGAATCGCCGCGCGCGCGTCAGCCAGAGAGAACACTGGAGCATCATCACGAAAAATACGAAACAAAAAGAAACACGGCGCGTGAAATTAGGAACATCGCGAAAACCAAAGCAATTAATTACAAATCATCCCGAAAAATCCCCCAAAAATCCGTAATAAATCGCGCGTACATAGAAAAATACAAAAATAGCAGCCAATAAATCCCGCAATACGAAAATCAATAATTATTCCGAAAAAATCCCGTCGACGTATAATCCACGCAAACATCCCATTTCGCAACGGAAAATAATAATTCATCATTTTTCAAATTCCCACAGGAATTGGAGGAAAATTCGGATTCCGCAACGAAAACTGGGGAAAATTCCAAAGTCGGGAAAAATCCATTCCGCAACGCATAAAAATAGTCATCCCGTTTTTTCCCAACAAAACAAGGCCGCCAAAAATTGTCGTGGACGAAGGCGATATCACAACCCGGTCAAAAATGAAGAAAAATCGCGAATAAATCCATCAATCCGGTCAAAAATGTGGATAAATCCGCAAATAAATCGGCGAATAAATCCACGAATAAATCCGCGAATAATCCGAATAAATCCAGAAACATTCCGAATAAATCCGCGAATAAATCGGAATAAATTCGCACAATTCAGCGCCGCGGCGCCAATTTGGGCGAGGGGGCCGGGGACGCCCCGCGCGGGGCACCGGCGGCGCCAGCCCATTGACCACGCCCAGCCGCCGCGCCCCCAGCAGGGGCGAGCTGCCGGGGGTCCCGGCGGCGCTCCACTCGTCCTCGACGTCCACCAGCGGCCGCTGCGCCCCATTTTCTTCACTTTTACCCCCCGGGGGCGACCCGCCGACACCCCCCGCGGGGCGGAAGGGCTCCACGACCACCGCCTCCGTGTCCTTGATCTCGGCGCGGCAGAAGGGGCAGGTGGGCGTGGCGGCGGCCGTCTCCGAGTCCTGCCAGTGCTGCAGACACGCCGTGCACAGGAGATGGCCGCAGGGCTCCAGACGCACGTCCTTGTCGCGTTCGGCGCAGATCTTGCATAACTGGAAGGTGCTGCCCATCTCGCAGTACAGTTCGTACTGTTCTTGGGTGACGCGGATGTGGTCCTCGGTGTCCGGGCCCATCGCCCACGAGAGGTCCACGTTGACGTGCCGCCCGTCCGGATACAGGTAACTGCCGGCCCGAGAAACACATTTTACGCTTAAATTTCATCGTGCAAATGTGTAAAAATATTTTAGCTGCGTTTTAACAATTAATTTTCTGATTTTTTTAATTTAAATTATTTCATTTCTCAGCGCTCAACCCAATTCAACTCGCGTTTCTTCCCATTACTTCTTAATAATTTTTTTAAAAAAATCTTTATTTTAAATATTTATTGTTACATTTATAATTTTAAGCTGTATAATAAAGAATTATTTTAAAAATAATTAAATAAGTTAATTTATTAAAATTCATATAAAGCAAACTATTTAAAATTCGTACAATTACCTAATAAAATGGTTATATGGATGAAAGAAGGAAATGAAGAGAATTTGACGATGAGGGAATTTACGTGAAAACTTGTCCACGTAAATGTATTATCATTTTCCAGAATAATACTACGGACGCGTGTATCTGTATGTACGCTGAAAACTGCCAAGAATAATGGAAGAAAATTCTTCCGATTACGTACAAGCGTTCGCGGGCGCCGTCGAGGAGCGCCTGGCACAAGGATTTATTCTGCGGGATCGTCTGCAGGATGCTGCCGTCCTGGGTGACGTAGCCGATGGCCCACTGCCCGAGGCGGGTGCAGCTCAACCGGAACACGTAACTGCCAATAAATTCATTGAAAATACCGGCAATTTTCTGTGCTTTTACAGTTATAACCATCTATTTTCCATTTATTACCTTTCCACGGCAAAAATAAATTTATTCACGTCAAAACCAATTTTTACTTTTTCTGTGCTTGTAAAATCAGTATTAAAACGTACTAGTTTTTAGCACAGGAAAATGCCATAACAGCACAGATGATTTAATTTGTTAATTTAATTTAATACTTTTCTGTGTTAATTAAATCCGTTTTAAATTAAATCTAATTAATAAATTAATTTTTTCAAATTAATTTACTTAAATCCGCGCTGACCTGCCGGGTTTGTTGATGAACTGCTGCAGACGCGCCTTCACCTCGTCATACGTCAGAAACGCCACGTATCCCGGATGCGTGACGGCCAGAATCTGCCAGTTCTTCAGCAGCGTCGGCCACGGCTGGAACAGCCTGAAAAGCAAAACACCACAACAATAATCTCCCAGATAATCTTCTTTTAATCAAGAAAAAAAACATCACAGCGAGCAGACAGGCAACACCAATCCGTGTGCCAAAAATCGCTGGTAGTCTGTAAATCTGATGGCGCGCCTGCTCTGACACGCACCGACCACCGGCGCGCATCGCGTCGCCACACGCGACGCCGGCGCTCATCCGGCCAACACACCGATAATTCCATTCCAGCTGTATTTTCTCAGCGCAATCAAATACTGTTTATTTAAAAATACACGTACCGCAATTTTTAAATCAATTAAATTATTTAATTTTTTAAATTATTTTTTCCATTTCGTATTACCATGGTTTTTTTTCTAAGTCAGATTGATTACAATTTAAAATTTTGAATAGCTTCAGTTTTCACAAACTGCTACAATGCATCGTAATGTTTTAAAAATTTTTTAAAAATGACTTAATGTTTAATATTTCGGTTTTCTAATGTCAGATAGTTTTCTGTGCTAACTGAATTAATTTTTCAATTACCATGTTTGTTTTACAACGAAAATAAAGTTATCAATTCATATTAATTCCATTTTTTTTCTGATTATTAAATCCACTTCGGTATTTTATGAATGATTAAGCGAAATTAAACAAACATTTAAAATAATATTAATTTCCAGCTTATTAAATTCAATTTATATTTATAGTCTTGTCGAAGCCAAATTAAACATCCGTAAATTGTAATTTCATTTTTCACAAAATACCGTGAAACGTCTGTGTTTTTCAGATGAATTTTCGACCCATACGAAGCCACGAAGCGTTAAAAAGCCTACCAAATCTGATATGATTAAATTCCAGAAAACAACCATAAAAAACGTTACTAAAATCTAAATAAATCAAAATACTTGTATATAAAATAACCCATTAAAAATAGAAAGTAAACTATCAAGTGTATTGCAGTCGGTTGGCCGTGTTTAACAAGATGAAACCCGAGCCGGGGGCTTATGCAATAATGCAACACGTATAAAAGCCCGTCCTTCACCTTGCGCGACCGCAACAACGCAACAACAATGGCGTTTTCATGTCGCTTACCGTGTGAAAATGTCGAACTCGAAAATGGACACGCAGTCGTTGCCGGTGAGATCGAGGGTGCTCTTCAGCGCCGCGGCCTCCATCGGCGAGGAGATGGGCTGGCGCACGTGCAGTTTAGCCAGGAAGGACGTCCACGACACGATGATTCTGCGGCACAACGTCACAAAAATTAAATAAAAATTATTAATGAAAAATAAATAAAAATTCTCTTCCGTCGCGTCTGGAAATTCTGTTAACAGTCATTTATAAATAAAGAAAAGTTCCTCCCTTCCGTCGCATCGGGACGCTTCACTAAAATTTCTATTAATCATCGCATTGCGTGAGCTGCCACACGAAGCGTTCAAAATAATTTTTAAATAATAATACACAAAATAAATTAAAATACTTTTTCTCGTGCAGCGCCAGGGCGTCTTATTGCAAATTTTTTTATTATTCCCGCTTCTAATTACTGTGTTTTATTTTCATTAAAATTTAAACTTTTGTTAACTTGTTAATTGTTATTATTATTAATTTGATAATGATAGTAACAGTAAGAATATTCCTAATATTTAAGAAAAATTATAAATACGGGGAAAAACCTTCAAAAATCGTCTCTCTCGTCGCGCCGGGACGTTTGCTAAAAGTTCTATTAATAATCGGATCAATTACAATTTCCGCCCACTTCTCGCGAACAAACAGGGCTTTGGATAAAATTACATAAGCGAAATGAGCGTGACAAGTGTGGTTTGTGTCGCTAAAAATCTCTGAGGAGCGATCCCAGCTGTGATCGCTGGGCCCAGGAGAATCGCCGGCTTGTTGCGCTCCACTTCGGCGATACTCGGATGAATTTCCGAAATTACCCAATAAGGTGGAGTGCATCAGCTGCTGCCGCATCGGGGAGTGCCCAGCGCAAACAATACACTCATTCAGCACACCGAAGAATTAATTTCGACAAATTATTTCTAAATTCAACTGACTTCAGGTTTCGGGAAAAAATTACCACGTTGTACATAAAAAATATGCTTGGGTGAAAATTCCACAATAACACAAGTTAAAAAAATTAATTTCATTTAATTTCAAATTTTCAGAGAAAATAATTAATAATAATTTCAATTTGTTAATAATTGCAGTCAATTTCAAATTCAGTTTTTTCAATTAAAAATCAAAAATTAATTTAACTTAATTTCAGCGCAAATTAATTTCCAATAATAATCGGGAAAATAAGAACACAAAATATTACCCAAGAAAATCTCAGTAAAAATACAGTATAACAATAAAATATAGTAAATGATTTAACCTTTCAACTAACAAAGACGGCCAAGTTCTAAAAATTTTTTATCAAATAGCTTTAACGTCAAAAATTAGAAAGGCAGAAAATATGCTATAAAGATTACTGTAAAAGAACTTCAGCATTCTGATGAATTATTAAAATATAATTATGGCAAATGAATGTCAACGAAATTAACTGAGAATTAGCAGAATACGGTGCAGAAATGAAGAACCTGTACGCCACACTGCGTACTGATGCAGTCACAGCACGGAAGACGAGCAAGTGCGCGTAATTAAATCAACCATAAACACCGTAATTAATCGCAACAAGTGTGGCAATTAGCAGAACACGGCGCGGAAGTGAAAAGCCTGTACGCCACCCGCACCTGCTGCTACAGTACACATGGAAGCACACCACTTGCGCCGCTAATCTTCTGCCTTAATTTACCGTTGCTGGAATTCTCTCACCTGTCATGGAACGTCGCTTTCCACCACTCCGCCGCGTCCGCCTTCGTAATGCGGAACGAATCCCCCGCGTACTCCCCGTTGGGATACAGCGCCTTCAGCTCGGCCAGCATATGCGAGAACACCAGCGACAGCTTATTGAGATTCCGCCGCGCCGCCGATTTCTCCTCGAACATCCCGTCCTTGGCGTCCTTGAACAGTTTAATCGTCTCCTTACATTTCCGCGTCAGATTATCCACGAACAGATTGAAATAATCCTCGTCCCGCGCCGTAGGCCGCTCGTCATGCCGCTGGCAGATGAGTTTCAGGTGCTGGAAGGTGTCGGGGATGATGTCCAGGATAAATGGGGGGCTGTTCTTCAGACGCATCCTGGGTTGTTGGCACAGGGTGACCACTTTGTCCATGAGTTTGCACACCTTGTCGGAGGTCCGCCGCTCATTTCCCCCCGTGGTGGGGGGGCCGGAAAGGGCCTCCTGGAGGCGCCCCCAGATGGAGGAGGGGACAGGGGGGGTGGTGGTGTTGCGCAGCATGGAGGGGGGCGCGTTCAGGCGGCTGCCGTTGTTCAGCGACATCATTTTACGAGGTGATCAGCATGATAAAAAAGAGGAGAGTTTTCTGGTTGAGTTGATTCCATCCGGAGCGGTGTGTGTGGTGGGAGATGGGAAAGTGTCATTGGGAAGGCGATGGAAGCATGCGTGAGGAATGCTTGGCAGGTGTAAAAATTATTATTTTTGCGCTCTGACTGGTGAGCTCATTCGTGTCGGTGCGCGTTCAGCGACGATGCGTACGTACTTACTGACAACACCGCGTGCGCGTTGAGCCGCAACTTCAGCGCCCATGCGTACGAACGACTCGTACGTACGCGGTGCATCACTCGTACGGTACGAGTTCTATGGATACAGTGAAACCTCCAAGATACGTACACCTCCGTTCAACAAATTTGGGACGTAACACACCTTTTAAGGTCAGCTGACGTCAGTCATTGCACTTGTACGTACGTTATGGCAGCACGCGGTGCCTATCCAGTACAGCCTCCTCGTACGTACACTCCCAAGATACGTACACCTCTCACTTAAGTACAAAAAATTCTGTACCGAAACTCTCCGTAGACTATAATACTGTACAGGGGGGAACCTCTACGTGACGTACACCTCTACGATGCGTACACGTACACTTTTTCTCTGTTTCGCCTGCCCATTAGGTATGTAGAATAGAACTATGTAAGTACTTGTCGCTGTTAACATGGTTCATTTGGGTCATAACACTCGTACCGTACGAGTGATGCACCGCGTACGTACGAGTCGTTCGTACGCATCGGTGCTGACCAGTGAAGTTGCGGCTCAACGCCCACGCTGAGATCTAATTAATTTTGTAATTGATCTTTGTGAAATTGATCACCGAAGATTTGCTGTTTGTGGTTAATGTAATTGATGTTTGTGGAAATTGATCACCGAAGATTTGGTTCAAGGAATTGATATCTGTGAACACACTCTTTGGACCATCGCTGTGATCGAAGATTTCGGGGCAAGGCCGCAGCTGCACGCATCCACAGGCGCCAGGACTTTCAGAAAATCCGATTCTAGGATGAATCAGATATCTTGGAAGTCTTGGCACCTGCGGCATTTAAATCAATGGAAATTCGGTGATGGGACCACGCCAATGACGTTGACTGGATGGAGGTGAGCGTGCCGCGGATAATTCTAGACTGCACATGATTCTCTTGGCCATGTGAGCTCATATGGCCAGCAGAATCATGTGGGCCGTCAATGAGCAGTTTCCGCCGGTTACGGAGGATGCCCCGGCACAGTTCCAGGCCAGCTATGCCCGTTGGCGGCGGGTGCACCGGCAGCGGAACCTGTCGTCTGCAGTGGGACATCTGCAGTGGGACACATTTAAGTGTTGTTGTTATAAGAAAACTTAATTCAAGTAAAAAGACACTGACTGACAAGCCTGCATGTAACATGGTGTAAATTTTATTTTTTCAAATCGGTTTAGCTGGTAAATTTTAGACGAGATCTAGAAAAAACATATTTTAACATGGTTACGAAAACGGATAATCGCTGCCGCAGGTTTCGGAAATAGTATCTTATAATAATAATAAAAAAATGAATGCCATTGCCATGAAATGTATACGGTGAAATGTTAGGCTGTGAAATGCCGCGCTGCGAAATGTCGGTAGTAATATATACAGATACCTAAAGGCGTAGTATTGCACATTTACCTACATACATCTTTTACTCGTATATCAACCATACTGGCTTTCCCTTTTACAAGAGAAAGACAGTATCGTTGATATATTATTATATGGTGTTAAATTTAGCACCGTTCTGCGACCATGCGATTATCATTCCGTGTTGCATGCTGTTCATCATTATTATCGTTACTTAAAGTGTCATAATGGCGTATTCTTATCAGCATCATCTAAACTCTAGCGTACATCACATACCCCTTGATCACCGACTCGGCTTCGTCGTTGGACGCCAAACGAGCCGCATTACCCCTCCCCCGGAATAACTTGCACCCGGTATGCGGTATGATCTGACCATGCCGGTACCTCAGCAGCCGCACACCGATCTCCGCACCGCCGTGGCGCTCCACCGTCGGTCTCCGCTCCGGCAAGTAGCGCTGGCGCTGGCCGAGGCACCCAGATCCACGCACCCACCACCTGCAAACGCATCGTGCTTTTTGGCGCTTGGACCTTGACACTGAAATACGTCCCTACCTAGATCTCCATTTCAAGATGAAACTAATCATGGACCATGGTCAAACGATAAGAGGTGGAATCAAATGTACATTGGATCCCAGTGGATTTGTTACACCACATCTATGCTGGCCCGGCATTGAAGAAAATACATCATTAACCAATTATTGTTACTATAATTCGGCAATCGATATAGAATGTGCCCTTTAATAAACAGCTACTGAGAGACAGCAGTTCTGCCAGCACATGGGCGAAATTTGGACAGCATCTGCACGAGTCAGCACGACTGAAGTGCATTAATGGCACATGTCTTAAAATTTGGCAGTTTAAACTGTAAAATGGAAATTCCGGCTGGAAAACGCTGCTGTCTATAAACGTTCTTCTCAAACCTGTTTTTACTGACATCTGCACACTTCGAATGTTTCTTGTTCTTGACGCTTAAATACTATATGACCAGGCTTGTGAGTGCCTCGAGGATTTGTCTGCTCATTGAATATTTAACTGAAATAAACGCAGACTGTGGTCCGGAAAAGTTACGGACGATGTAGGTTTGATCTCACTATGGCTACTTACAGCTACTGATCCTTGTGTACAAATTCTTATTTAGAATACAGTTAATAGAATTTGGAATAAGAAAGCCGAACATTCTTCCAAATGTCCTTGTCTATACTCTATACCGGTAAATCACCGGAAGTAAAGGGTTTGTCGCTTGTCAGTCAGGTAATGCATAAGTTGAAGTGGGTATTTATTTTTTATTGTATTTTACCAGCGATTAATGGCCAGTGCTTTCTTCCCCTGCTTTCCAGTTTCAGTAACACCGTTCGCCTCTTCGGCTGCCTTTGGCAGTGACGCAAGGAACTGGCACTACTGTGGTCTGTGGTGTACTGTTGCTAAGCAGACCGATTAGGAAGCTGTGTTGTAAATGCAATGTTTGCAGTTAGTATGATTCTGGCGAGCTGGCGTACTGTACAAGTCTTGTTAATTATTAAAGTGTATTACTTCAATACTGTTACACGATAATAATTTATGGCAGAGCTAAGTAATTATTAAAGGCCACGGCACAGCTAGCCCGGCCGGTATGCTGATACATGTATATGATAATATGCGTTAAAGGTAACGAAGAGGAAAGGCAAAGCGAGGCAGGGAAATGTTATTAGGAAAGAAATCAGACAGAAGTATAAAGTGTATTGGCGGAAGTGGTGCTGAATGAATGCATGTCCGCATTAGAAGTGAAGAACAGCATTATTGGCAGGCAAACGAGTAGAAAAAAATAATATCAGGTAGCACGAGTGAGCATATCGCTCAAATGAAGCAGTAAACAGAAGCAACATCATAAATGTGAATCAGAGCCGTTGCTTAATTATCTATATAAAAATCATTATGTGACAATACATTACAACTACTTTGTACGGAAATGCCATTGCCAGCACGCATCCTTACCTGCAAGATCACTTCGTCTGGGGCGGATACTGGCGTCCCCATCACGCTCCGCAGCCGTGTGCAGCGGAATGCGCCGTGCTCGTCGGATATCCCCGGCCGGGGCCAGCAAGCGGCACAGCTTCCTCCATTTACAGCCGACTCCTCCGGTGCATTCACTGCTGCCACCACGGTTCAGACAGCGGCCGTGGGACGTGAACCGATGGTCAGCCACTGCGCTGCTGCTCTCGGGAAGAGTGCGGGAATAACCCGGTACGGTCAGTCAGTTTACTCAAGCACAGTTCTCAATTTCACGACGGCAACTGGCTGGAATGTTTCGCAGTTCAGTGAAACACATCTCTGTAACCGTCAACTTGTGTACATATTACAGTATTATAGTAATTTATATAGCAGGAAAAACATAAACGAGTCAGCCTCGTTGCGTGCAGTCAGTCTAGAGCAAATGCAACGTGGCAAGATGGTCTCAGTTCGTTTTTTATGAGCTGGGCGTGGCGACGCCGCTGTTGGGCTGCGATAGGGATAACGGCGTCCGATACAGGTGGGTGTGGTGGAAATGATTGGCTTATTTGGCTGTAAAGTAAGAAGTTGTAATAGTGAAAAGCAGTGAAAACTTGGTCCTGCCTGACTCGTCAACTTTAAGCATCAGCTGTACAGAGAACCAATGAATGCTCTTACAAAAGCATTACTTCTATATATATATGCAGCATAGGATTGTGACCGGTTTTTGAAAACGTGTAGTATAAAATATACGGTGGACCGCAGTAAGTAAAAGTATAAGTAAAGAATTTCGGCGCGGAAAGGCGGCTTCTGTTTAGCAACTGTAGGTTGTTCTAAAGAGCTGATCTAGAAGAATCAGCTGTACCGGGTGGCTGAACAAAAGGGCGGTCTGTTTTTCCAGAGTGCGCTGGGTCCGTCCGATGCCTGACCGACATCGTCTTAGTTTCATTCGAAAAAGCAATGTTTTCAGCATATGAAACTTAAAATTAAACCAACAATAAGCAAAGGTGTGACTTTTTTATGATTTGGTTTGGAAAACTAGGTGCGTTTAACGGTTGGCCAGGAAACGAAAATTCGATTTTACCCCTTTTTAAAACAAAAAACTGCTACTGTTCAGTTAAGGACATTCACGTAGCTCACGTTACTATTTCGGATAGAGGGGTTGTTTGTAGTTGTTTTGCTGTTGGGAATAGGAAGATTCTAGCAACTTTGTTTGGCCAATATAGGGAATAACTGAAAGTCCGCACGATAATTGTCGTGAAATCCGCAAGCAGAGTTTTCGAAGGCAAATTTCTGACCAGTGTTTTAAAAGCTTGTATGGTTCAATCTTATTTCTGCAACGACAAGGTGTAAGCTACATATAAAATCAAAACCGGCATCTTTGGCTGCAACCTGTCATCCAGCCGAAAATTTCAACCAAAACTGCCTAAACAAATCAAATAAAAGATCGGCATTTTTTGGGAAAGTCAAAAAGTGTATTGGCGAATAACTCGTCCACCGCATGCGCCAGGTCCAAAACATTTTTACTAATGAAAACAGATGTAATTTTCTACACAAAACACTAAAAGTGCCGGGTCAGGCGCGACACCTTCCCCAAGC